ATACCAACTGTCCACCATGTCTATTCAATCGAGCGTTGAAGACGTTCCCCCAATTGTCCTACAAACACCCGACGGTGCAAAGACTAAGCGACCGAAGGCCCCTAAAAAGAAGTCAAGCCCGGCAAAGAAAGACCTCCTATTTCGTACTGTGGGTGAGTCCCTGGCGAGCCAACTATACAGTCACTCAAAGCTAGACAATACATGCATTTGGTGTTCACTTCCTGCGGATCGTAAACGTGATCAGATTTCCTTACTTCCACCATCGGCACATACTTTTCATGACGCAAAATCCCGACGTTGTGGCAGCAGCTGTTGTGGGAGTAGCAGCAGCAGCCAAACCCTTGTGGAACCGACATCAGACTCAGATGCGCTATCTTCCCGTCATTCCTCAAACACATACGGTCGTTCAAGCTCCGAATCATCCTTGCCTCTAGGACGCACCGGGTTCGTACCGCTGTCTACGTCGACATCCTTACCGCAGATCAACCTACCCGGCCGAGATCATATGGACAATGCCGAAGTATTAGAGAGATTAGCTGGGCGCTATGGAAAAGTCTCACATATGGTAATACTCGACCGAAGTTACAATTTCTTCCTCAACAAGGCACGAACCGGGGCTTTGTGTTATAAGGTGCAAAATCAGGTAGCAATAGTCGCAGGGGACCCTCTATGTGAGCCGTATTTGTTTCCCGATATCCTAGACGAGTTCAAGGCTTACCGAAAGCAGTTCCACTGGGGAATTGCTTTCATGGGGGCCAGTGACAGTCTAGTCAAGCATGCGCGACAGCAACATTGGACTACATTACAATTCGGTGCTGAGCGTGTGCTCAATCCGATGACGAACGATGTGCTGATGGAGCGAAGTGGCAAGCGAATCATCGTCCAAAACAAACAACTACTCAATCCAGACAAAGGTGGTATCACCTTAGGTGTTTACGCTCCAGAATATGGGGCAAACCCGTCCTTACAGAGCGAATTAATGGCCATTTATGAATCATGGCGGCATCAACGCAATCAAGCCGCGGCCGCAGCCCAGGCTTTTATTACCGTTTACAACCCGTTCGATTTTCCTAATCTAATGATCTACATATATACCCGCGACCCCGACGGTGTCGCTAACGGATTCGCAGCGCTTCGTCGGGTTGGTGCCAACGAAGGATATCATATTGACCCCTGCATCGCTGCTCCCGGTGCACCTAAAGGGATTAGCGACTTGCTGGCTTACGCAGCCATGGCGCTTCTCAACCAAATGAATGTATCTTACCTCAGTCTCGGATACGAACCTCTTACGACCTTAGGCGATGTGACGGGTTTACCATCGGCTATTGAAAAGATTACGCGGTCGTTATACCGTCACACCTTCCAGAGATTACCCATAGGAGGAAAGAAGGCGTATCACGACAAGTTCCGTCCCGATCCATTCTTGGACTCAGAGTTATATTTGGTGTTCCCATCAGGTGTTCCTGGACTGCGACATATGCTTGCCATGGTCCATATGGCCAACATCAGCATTCGCAAACTTGTTCGCTCCGAAGCGAAGTCCGCCTCGCATAAAGAAAGACCAGGAGAAGATAGATGACGTACCTCGCCATCGACATGTTTGCGTGCTATATTTCATTCCTAATAATCTGAACTTCATACGGGATTGGTGTTTTGGTTTTGCAGCCGTCATTTTGTTGGGGTTACAAAAACATTTAATTATATAGTGGCAATGTCCATGGATGTTGATCGCCGGCTGTACATGCCTGATAAGCATTGCACCGTGATTGTTTGTATTATATATCATCACCGGCGTTCCTTGGGCCTCGTTTATTCATTCGAGTATAGGGCATAGGCACATTGTGTTTGGATCACAATTTTGATTTGTGTTGGGTTCCAGTTTCAATACCATTTAAAATGGCATTCCTGTTATTCCATGCAAAGATTATCATGAGTATCCGGGCCGCTTAGCCTAAGAAAACTGCAGTGAAAATTCTTAGTTCTAACTTCCAACGGTCCAAGGGATACATCGGGTGAGCATACTGACCATGGTTCTTTGAATAAGCCTTGCGCTCAAAAGTTAACTAAGCCTTTTCCACCCTATTCCGTAAACTTGTGGGTACGGTATAAACTCTAACCCCCTTCTAGACCGTGGGGCGTTTACCTATTCAATAACTTTATACGGATTACTATACCAACGCATCACTCGCGAACATTCGGTCGGCAACGGCTTTAACGTATTATAGCACGATAACATGTATCTTTTATCGGTAATTTCAATAGAAACCTTACAAGCACAATCCTTCATCAACTTTTCCGATATCAAGAGGCGCAGAGCCTATCCCGAAGATCAAAATGGAGATGCCGAACTTCGCCCGAAGCCTTCCGTCTTAGCATCTCCGAGAAGGGTCGGCAAAGTTAGTTACGGAGTAGCTAGTACTACCCTTTTAGTCAACGGCACCGGCGAACATCCTCTATGCGGACAATTCTGGGCCCCGATTGATACTGCGTTGTATAACTTTCCGCCGATTGATCCACAGCCGACTCGGCGTATCTCTTTCCTGGAATGGTTTAGTGCGTTTATGATGTTACGTTACTGTTTGGATATATATTGTTTAGGGATCTCGATTCGGCGTGGCAATAGGGCATAGAGATGGATGTATATTTACGATGGTGTGCGCGTATCGCCGAGGGTCACGGCTATGAGGTGCTCTAAGTGTATCTTCTCCGGGCTTTATAGGTTTTTATTCGCAGTGGCTAGAATTTCTATGGGATGAAGAGTAGGGAGGAGATACGGATTGTTTGTACGGTGACGTGATAACTATTTGTGTAGTCTGAATTGGAGATGTAACCTCTTTGTATATCAAGAATATATTTGTGTTCTTATACTGTGTAAATGGGTTCTATTGTTTGTTTGACCGCAAGGACTACGCTCAATACTATGTCAAGCTTCTCGTGAAGATTGTGAGAGTCTTGATAGAGGCAAATTCCATCCGTCACAAAACCAATTTGCAATAGAATTGTGCATATTCTAGCATCGTCATAAGTGGAATGCCTTAGTGAGAATTATATGTTAATCAATTTCTGGACTAGTAGCAATTATTGGACCTGGTATAGGAAAGTTATTATCAAAATAAGGAAGGGAGGTATTGAGCATCATGAGACGGTAAACATCAACTTGCCCCACTGCACGGCAATGGCTGCTGGTGGTAGCAAAGATATTTTTTGAGAAATGAAATATCTGGGGAAAATGGTGTTGTTGTAAATTGACGACGGTTCTATGCCTTTATTCCTTCTTCTTCAAAGCACAGTTGCGAAGATAAGGGGACAGGAGACGCCGTAGATCCTTACGTCAATGGAAATTTGGATTATTCTTATCCAGACTAACCCTCTTTCATATGATCAAAGCCGAGATCTGGGACATCCAAGGACCAAGAGACATTGTTCCTTTCACACATTCACCATCATGGACTGGCTTCACGGACCATGAGAGCGAAGCTCGAGTTTGGACACCCAAGTTCAATCACTCCGTTCAAACATCAAAGCGGAATCTGTACCTTGATAACTGTTTTAGCTATGTGACATTAATGAGGGTAGCTACCATGCCGACTTATTTGTTGGGGCTCGGGCGGAAGGCTGGGCCTTTAGACTAAATGAAAAATGTATCAAACTTAGGAGTACACTGGAAGGTCATGAGGTTGGTATCGAAGTAAAAGTGATAGCTACCAGACGGAAGATTGACCGGATGATGACAACCAACAAGAACGCGCAAGAACGTAAGACTTCACCAAGGAGCTCTAATCTAACGAAGTATGGATGGTAAAAATATATTGTATCTCAAGAATGAGTAGCTCATTATTCAAATGATCATAGACATCACAGCCTAACTATAACGAATATTTTCGAGAGCATTATCACAATGTTGGCTGAATCTCAGCGTTATTCGTATATTCAGAAGCCCATGTACTGTATAAATTGCTTAGGATGATGATCGTATATAAATATAAAGTCCTCCCATGCTAGTTGTCACACAACCAACCTACTACTACCTCTTATACTTTTGAAAGATATTATGAGTAGACCTGATGTTATCCTTCCGCATTAGCCTGAATATGAGCCACGCACAAAACGCTGTATCCTGACTTTTAGATTATTTTGCAATTCTACCTGTGCATGTGATATATCTTCGGCTTTCGGTGATATTAAGTAAACAGAAGAAAACGCGAATAATATTTCGTAATTAGCACCTTGCCTTCACTTACAATGTGGTGTGCAGGGTGCTGGCCCGAAGGAAGCCAATCATTGCCACACGGAGGTATACTGCCCCGAAGAATACTCGTGATACATATATATGCAGTTATTCTACAGATACGAAGTCCAAGTCTCCCCATCCATGAATTTCCACTGCATTGAAGTCCATTTCGGCTTCACGAACGAGTTAGACCGCCACTTTTGAGCCCCAGGCTCTGCCATGGCCACGTCAACAGACTGGTTATATGAAATCATCTAACTGCTAGTAGTACAAACACACCAGTCGGAGCCATTGTCGATCTGCTTCGACTAGGATGGCCGGTCGGAAGAGGACAGGACAACACGCAATAGACCGGATTCATACCCTTGCGTAATATATTTCTATGTTTTCTTTTTTTCGATCCTGCCTATCAGAGAAATTGACATGTAGCACCTGCGCAGACAAACATTGTACATTGGGCATCCGCGCGAAGTAGATACTACACAACATTACCCAAGATCAACAGTTTGGCCTCAATCTGCGATGGGGCTCTTGCAACTAATAGACTATATGAGGCGAAAGAAACTCCGTGATGACCAAATAAAACAAGCCGATTGCAGTGCATCAAGCCTTGCTAGACTGTCTATTACTGCAGACTCCGCTCATCATATACTGTGAGTTGCCCAAGGCTAGATCACCCTTACCGAGAGTCTTGGGGTTTTGTTTGGCTCCGATTGAATGAGTGCTCACTCAGGTAAAGTTAGTGGCAAAACCTCATTATCGCTATATTATGGAATCTCAGACGATTGTCTTGCGATATGTCGTGCAGGATCGCCTGGAGGCACTGCTGAAGAGGCGATACCCACAGGGAGGGTATCAAGTTAGTGTAAGCTCAGAGTTTTTATTAATGTTTCTAAATCGCCACAGTTGGCTATCTAATTCGTTTGGATGACCCTTTCTCCAAGAAATCATTGAGCGGGTATTTCCATCTTGGTTAGATGGTGCCAGGAGATCGGATTGAAGCCCTCGTCCTATTTTTCTTTGGCCTCATTTTTGGTTGTTTGCTGTCCCTCCTTGGCCTTGCGTGTCTTACGTGTTTGCCTTACCCAACTCGATCACTATCATTTGCCTTTCAAAATCAGCCTTGCAGCCTGCTTGCTGAGTGCAAAAAAGGCGCGGAGAAACACATCAGCATCAGCGTAGTTTGCCGCAACTAATGCACCATAAGGTTGGATAAACGGGGCTGTGCTGACTGGGACCAAAGATTCGACGAGGAATTTGCTACCTGACCTTACCACAAGCATTATCGCAGGTCTGTCATTGCGCCGTACCCGCCACCTATGCACGCGGCTTGAAACGAGCCCCTAACTGATGCACAATTCGTGAGAGGTAATACTAATACCGACCCAATAGGATGATATCGACAGCTGTAGTTCTAGTTCTGTCTGACCGGGGCGTGCTCAGAAGTACAACTCGTTTTGACTTCTATTCATAGCAAGGAGTGATCGCGGGATATAAGGATGAGAAAAATATAATATCTGTTTGAGCACCTCCAAACCATGACTATTGTGCAAATGTGAATATGAAAATTTTTCTTTCTTGTTCGTGTATGAATCCGATCTCTTGATTCTTCTTGATGTTGAGTGCACAAAAGCAACTTCCACAGCCTTGTCGTGCGATGGGCCGAGGACGCTCCCCCAGTATAACCCCTAATCAGGTTATTGAGGGCAAATACATGAATCCGAAGAAGCTCATTAAATTGCTGGGAAATGAATATGGGCAAGCTAATTTTCGGGTCGAGGTGTGTTTCTTTGCTCGTCGTTAGGACACCTGTCCATGGCTAAGGTATGCCGCATAGTTACGCCTGGATCAATATAAAATATACGTGTTGGACCAAGAACGAGCACGCTCGCCGGGACTAACTCAGGTTTGGACTATGTGGAGTGACTGTGTTGATAAGAATTACTAAATCTTTATCCAGGAGCAAATCAATGAGTGTCGAGTATGGTATTAGAAAATCTCCACGCAAGCATTATCAATACGTTGTACAATAAACATCAAACGGGAGCCCACTCCAAGTGCTGCGCAATCGGGAAGAATTATGGTGGGGGGTGGGGGGTGAGGAGGTTGTACATGGCGTAATATTGATGGACATACCCATTACTCTATAAATGTATACGCAGTACAAAATATCACCTTGTGATGGCACCTGCATAAGCCTTCCAGCACGATGGAACCTGATTGATAGGCCTTGACACAGTAATGCTACATCCTCATTGGATATTGTAGGCGCTACTAAAGTACTAGGGTTGACCCTCGATTTTAAGAGGTGCCATTCCGCGAGCCCTGGAGAGTCTCCCGCTGACTGACAAACATGAGGAAAGCCTGCTGATCGCTGGCATGTGTTGAAATACGGCCCATCGTTTACATTCGCCCTGCGCTCAGCTGTCTTTTGCCCTCATAAGACCGATTTGCCTAGTAGTTCAAGTGCTAACCAGGTAGAAACCTTCCCATCCAATGCCTAGAGGGACATATGGTTGCGGCTTAAATGTTCAGCCTCTTGAATTAGAGCCGCATGCAAAAAGATATCGTGGGTACTGAGATTGAAGCCTCAAGCTGTGTTCTCGCTGGTGTATAAATGCATGCGTCTGCGTCTCAGGCTTGTGGTCTTCTAGATGTTGACTGACAATTCAATCCCTCGGTGCGCCGGAAAATGGACCACAGTTACCCTTCTTCCCGTGTTGATCAATTCCTAGAGGAAAAGATCAAGTCCAGGACGAACAGTCTCTTTAAATCTAGGAACGACGCTGCTCAGCTGGTAGTTTATCTTTTTTCTTCGTCAAAGGACTCATGTGGCAGACGGACATTGCAAACCAAGCAACCCATCCCGATTAATCACATCTCGGAGCTGAAGAGACTCCATCAGGTAATTCCACCACCTTGTATGGTACCTTTCCCCAGTCAATAGCTAACGTATTCTCTAATCCACCATAGGAAGAGACCATTGCTTGTGCACAAGTCTATACGGTCGCACAGTTGCGATCGTGGACGACATTAAACATATCGAGCGAACTTTTCCACCGCCTCCTAGAAGAACAAAGCGTCTTCCCATATTTCTGGAAGTCAGTCCTCACATTTGGCATCAGAGTCGTGGAGAATGAATATGCATTTCCTTCCTTTCGTGCCAAAAGCTCGCAGAGGGGAGACGGCAAAGTTGATGGTTAGATCCTGAAAGCCCTTACGTCTTCAATGTAGAGAATACCCGATAGGTTGACTGGTGGCATAGAGATTGCATATGTGATCCGGCGAGTTGAACGTAACCAGCGCCCGACGTCCAAAGGGGAGTGTCCCTGGTCAATTCGTCAGACGGGGGTTTACCATAAATTGACATACCCGCATGATGGATCAGCAAGCTCGTCGGTGTTCATTCTGATTGCGCCCTCCCGTACGACCGAAAATGAGGTCTCTCAGTGTTTCCCCGGAAGCCCATTCGAGGGGGAGGTCATGAAGCCGCACTTCTCTATTCACGAGAGACTCATAGCTGATGGCCTCAGCTGCTGGATGGATTACATGGCTTGGTTAGAGTCGGAATGCAAGCAAAAGGTCTGTTCGTTCACTCTCTTTTAGTCTTCTTACTCTTACCAATGTGTATGCACCTGCACGCATGCTTTCCGCTTCGGTTTACGCGGGCTAAACTATGCGCCCTTTAGGCTGACCGGCTCATTGTCTGGGATGTCGAAGACGGAGATAAACATATGACATACTTCAAGGTGGACGACAGACAACGCCTTAAACAACTGGGAGATTACATAACGGATTTGATTGTTGTCCTTCAGACTGCTGTAAACACCATCGGTCGCATTGGGAAGAGCTGCCAACGACACTGTCAAATGAGCTGTGGTGCCAGAAATGACTGTTCCTGCAGTTCCATGATCGAAGAGTTTAGTGAATATGAAGCAGAATCCCGCATTTACCTGGAACGAGCCAAGGTGTTACAGGAGCGTGTTCAATCAACAGAGCAACTGGTAGGCAGCCGTTATCACCCCACTCTCAGCACTGTTGCTGACATGCTGTGAACTGACAGTTAACCGACCTGCTAAGCTTTGAGGAGACACGAGCCTTGAAGCAATTGGCACGAGCATCACACGTGGAGACAAAAGCTTTGAAAGAACTGGCCCAGACATCTCAGGAGGAAAGCCACCACCTCGCCGAGCTTGCAGTGCGTTATTTTCCAACGTGGCTGTGACGGACATACTATTAATGAGGATGTTCGATAGAAACGGAGTGCAGAAGACGCAGCGGCTGTGAAAATGCTGAGTCTTGTTGGCCTGGTTTACCTCCCTACCACCATTGTAGCGGTGCGTTCCATTGGCTGGCCTTGGCATAGATCGAAAATGAAGACGGTTGCTGACCCTTCCATATAGAATTTCTTTTCCACAGAGTTCGTCAAGGTTAATGAACAGGGAGATATATACATATCACCCTGGGTTTGGATTTTAGCAGTTATCTCAGTTCCCTTAACAGTAGCTACGATCTTTCTGTGGATACTTTCTGTGCGATATAGTGACTCATCTTGGTTTCTGAAGGTGACTCGGGTTCGTCATAAACCGGTGTCACCCAGGGATGGCGAAGACGCAGATATGGAACGAGGCAGGTTGCGAGGCCGAGCGGAGACCCAGGGCACGATGCCCTTATTCAGCCTGATGCGCCCGTCCACCTATGCCACCACCACGACCAAAACCGATTAAACTAACCTTAACCCATCGTACGTTCTTAGGTAATTGTATTTTGCTTTGAAGAGGCTGAATGAAGGCAACGAGTATTCATAGTCTACACAGATTTACTGTAGATCGAATGGACAGCGCAGTACTAGTAGAGATTACGGAAGAGACAACGCTCGGATGTCCCTCGTGCAAAGTTCTGGAGGATCTCCGTGATTTGAGGGTGAAGACGCATAGAGACCGGGCAAAGGAGAAGGCAAAGAAGGAGAAACCGGCAGCGAAAGTGAAGAGTGAAGTGACGCGCAGCCGCAGGAAAGACGGTCTACTGCGGCTAGCTGGGGGAGGTCCTAAATTCCTAATGGACAAGCTCTAGGATCACTGCCTCGTTGCCCGATAATGTCATTCTTCATTCGACAATTTCTCCCTATTAGCAGAACACTATTGTCAAGCCCGCCAATGAGAGCGCCAACTTACTCGAGGTCAACCATCGTCAGTCAGTCTGTTCTCCGACCCGGCGGAGGCAACCGCTCACGTCGATCGAGGGAGAGTAAGTGCTCAGTGGATGATGTAGAATAAGATGGGGTGTTCGCTCCCTCCCTCTTGATCTCCGCCACCACGATTTGACTATTACATACTACTAGTAGCAATACTAGTACTGTAGTATACTAGTAGTATTCCCATGAGAAACGAATAGGTAAGCAGGCGGTAGCACTCCCGTCCCACCTTTTTCTCGGATTGTTGAGTTCCTTTAACCCTTTCCTTCCTCTACTTCATCTTCCACCTAGGAGGTGGAACAACTTTCACCACCACCGCCCAGTACACCACTTCTACTGGACATTTTCTCCTCTCCCAGCCGAACGGAAGCGTTAAAGTTGTCTTCAGTTCGTCTTCGTCTTCTTGATATGATCTATACCCTTTCTTTCTTTGCTGTCGTACACCTCCTCTCTATTCATTCATATTATATCCTTATTCGCTTTCCTTGCCCGTCACCACCCAATCAGATTTCACTGACGTTACACTCCAAGAACCAGCTCAGCTTGTACAGCATCCAGTATGTACTCGCTTTATTATTTGCTTTTCTCTTTGGTGTGTTTGTTCTTGTTCCTTTCATGGAACTCGCGACGTATCAGGGATGGCCTTCGTCTCCAACCCAGCTCTCCAAAACGATTTCCCGGGGCCATGAGTCCACCCATGTCCCACGAAGGGTCTCACTCCAGTCAAGGCTCGTTTCCTATTCTAACTTCGACGTTGAATCGGATACGAGAATGCACAATCAAGCTTGCGTTTATTCCGCGAAGTATTATCGATGCCGAGATCAACGAAAATGCCGTGCGAGACATACTAGCCGAGAAAAGAATCGATAGTAGAGTCCCAAGAGCCAAGCTGGCAGAGAAGATTGTCCAAAGCGCTCAAAAGCTATTTACAATTCTGGTCATGTCAAAAAAGGTGGATCATATAAACACCTTCCTGGACCGAGGGATACAAGATGGCAATCTCCCATTCAAACTGGACGGGAACGTCTTGCGAACCAGTCAAGGCCACAAGGTTCCGGTACCGGAAGATTGGGACTATGAAGACCTGGAAGCATTGGAATCAAAACAGTGGCGGGTGCTCGTGCCAGTCTTTCACCAAGATGTTCATTACGATTTTCCAGAGCAGCAGAGGTTTCCATTTGTGGACAAAGAATCTGCGAAGTCTGCTGAAGGTGGGTACGGAAGAGTCTCCTGTGAACGCATCCATGCCGACCACCACGACTTCTGTGAACCCCCTGACAGTAAGGTGAGTGACAACAATGCAGGCATCTGAGCAACGCTGCATCTTGGTTGCTAACCCAAAGTAGAGCCAAGGGTGTAGAGTTGCCGTCAAGAAGCTCATCCGGCAAGATATAACTCTGTTTCAGAGAGAAAGAGAATTTCTCATGGCACTGGGTTCAGCTGGGCCCCATCCACACCTGATCAATCTGTTGTGCACCTATAGCTTCCTGGGAGACAATCACCTAGTGTTCCCCTGTGCGGACGAGAACCTTCGAGAATACTGGAAGCGGACTGGGCTACCCGAATGGAATAGCCGGAATATCCTATGGTGGGTCAAGCAGGTGGTCGGAATCGCAAGTGGATTATCTGTGATACATAAGCTACCCCAGTCGGGTAACCCATCTAGTACGGCGCTTTATGGACGACATGGTGATCTGAAACCTGAGAACATCATATGGTTCAAGAAGCGTCCTGAGTGCACAGATCCAAACGGCATACTCTTGATTGCAGATCTAGGGCTTGCGAAACTTCATCGATTTGAGTCCAAGTCGAATGATGTAGATGCAGCCTTCCCTCATACCTACTCGCCTCCTCACCGTCCTGGGGAGTTCATAACCCGAGCCTTCGACATCTGGGGTCTCGGGTGTCTATATTTGGAGCTCGCTACCTACATCATATGCGGGGAGAACGCTATCGGGGAATTCGCCGAACTCCGGGGATATGACGACCCCAACTACACTATGAATACAGATTGCTTCTACAGCGTAGATCACACGAGCGTCCGTCCATCTGTGAATGAATGGGTGATGAGGTTGAAGATGAAACCGCGGTGCTCCCCCGTGTTTCGTGACTTGCTGGATTTGATCATGTCTCGCATGATCCGCATTGAACCGCGCGAGCGAAGCGACGCTCAAAATGTCTACGAGAAATTGAATGAGATGTACAAAAAGGCTGAGTCAGACCCGCAATACCTTCTGGGTCGTTACGAGATGTTGCCGCAGCAGAAGTTGGATGACTCCCCGGAGCCCACTCTCGAAGCATCACCTTCTGCTCAGAATGTGTCTCATGGCTCCAGCTCGACATCCTTCACCCCCAAAGCACACGGTCCAGGCGACACTGTCCACAATGCTCGACCCCTGTATTTAAATAGGTTAGGTCGCGATATGCCGTCCAGGTTAGTGGTTGATAGTGACAATTCGTGGCCCATGAGTTATCTAGGTCTACCAAGGAGCAGGGGCACATGGCCACAAGTCGGCAGCAGTTGATCCTGCTGTAGTCAACCCTGCTCCTATCAAGATGGGTACTCATTGTTTTGGATTTAACTATCTTGATTATGCTTGGGGAAGATGTAGAAGAACTATAGGTGTTTATTATCTTTGACATGGGCGTATATTTCGGACCAATTAGTTGTTTTGGGAGCTTCGATGGTGTTTGGCAAATGTATCATTGGGAAGGGAGAACTATAGAGCAGACATGATGAGGAAGTCGACGCTCGTTATCAGTCATGTCACTAGCAATTCTAACTTAGTAAAATTGTACGAAATATTCTATGTCAGAGTGAGGATTTGGGCAGGCAGGATACGAGTCAAGCTGGATACAGATAGATAGACAACTCTTAAACTCGAAGAGCTACGACAGGACCAGGCTGGGACCCGTAGTGCGCCGTGACATTAACCGGGTCCTGGCTTCTAGGGGTAGCGGCCGTGGAAGTTAGCGGCAAGCTGGCGGGCGGACCTTGGGCGGGGTTCCTCTCGGGACGCCAGCCTGCAGGGCATCTGTTCTTCATGTATTTATGGTGGAATTAGACATTTCACTGCAGAAGCCCTACTGCAGGGCTAATATTACAAATAACCCTTAACTTTCCTGATCCGATATATGCCAGGGTGTGCTGGAGCTGTTATACTAGTACTATTGGTGGTTTACTGTTCAGAAGCCTTGGATTTCAACGGTTCACCAGGCTTCCTAAGCATACTTCCGGTTTCAGTGCATCGTTACTCAAAAAAAAAAAAAAGAGGAGGGGTTCTACTCATTTTCCAGGGGCACTCAATGAGGGATAATCAATGAGCACTGAAAACTCGCCCTTCTCCATCGCGAACAATAAACGAGGGGCGATCGATCTGATTATTGTTGTCGCGTACACATATCGATCTGAGATGGATCATATTGATTGATTACGCCATCTGTGACAATCATGAGAGCATACCATGATGATCAACTCCACACACACTGCTCTCTATCATCGAGTTGAGTCTAAGAGCAGCCGATGCACAAGCCACATACTTTCTAAAGATGGCAAGACATTTACAAACTTGACTACTTGCTCTTCACGGAACCGATATTTAATCTTTCAGTGGCGTCATGGAAATGCTCCAGAATACCAAATAATAGATAATGGGACGTCTGACTAGTCGTGCCGTTCATGTGCCATCCGTGAATGATGCTCGCGTGGTCCGTCACTGAACTTTAGATTATAATTTATAGGGGGTCATATGGAGAAGGATGGTAAGCATATGGGGGAGCGCATATTCAGGAGATAGGTTTGGGGGACCTAGTCGTTACTATGGTACATCCAGGGACCAGACGCGTGGCTCAATGATATTGCTTTATATATATAGTACGACACTGACGAATCTTGGGAGCTTTACTGCTACCTTCCCAATATGATGTATTGTATCTGAGAGGGCCTCGATCGCTTCAATGTTATCAGAGAAGCTAGCCTGTCGTCATATTTGACGCCGATGGGCAGATGCAACAGTACGTGGAACTGCACCGAATAAACCCAGCCAACAAGAATAGCATATCAGCGAACATCATTGCTGCCATGAGCACACCGATCTGTGGTCGACCATATCTGGTTTTGGCTGAATGGTAATGGAAGATCCCGCGAATCACAGAAGACAAACCAGCAGCTCAACCGTGGTTTTGAAGCTCACTGACCCGCTTTTTTCCCTGGAGTCTAGGATGATGCATGTCCGATCAAATATCCAGGTATTTCCCGTCCGGGTAACAGCGTACAGGTCAATTAACTTTGAATCATAGATGTTATGTCCATTCATTTAAAGTCCTGACAGCCCCCCTGGGCTTAGAAAACCACAATCGATGTGAATAACAAGTCAGCTAGAAGCACAATCCTCCCGATCATGGCAATAGCAACAACAGAACTTAAACAATCTATTAATTTCTTCCGACAAGCTTCGCGTGCCAGTGTACATGGTCGATCATCTCTGGCTGCGATTTCACATGGGAAGCTACAGAAAGAGTCCTTCTCTCCTACCCCCGATCTCCGTCGCTGTCTGGGCCACCACGGTGTCTTCCGCAAGTGTGTACAAGCCGCTCAAGAAGCTGCAAGCCAGCCTGCCCATGCATCCTGTGGTGTAAACAGTAGCAAAGCTATTGCTATTCCGGGCAACGCAACAAAGCATAGACCCGCGCCTCCTCCTATCCGATCTCAGATTACCCAAGCCATCAAGGCAATGACCCAACGCCGACATGTCAGTGCATTTATCAAGCCTGAGAACGATCTGATCCGGATACCAGACTCGCCCCGGAAGAGAAACATGGTCGATAGTTTACAGTGCAGAGTCAAATTACTCTTAAACCGAAGATCCTCGCCGAAAGAGCGATATATGTGGCGCAATGCTGCGGGCTGATGCACTCGCATCAAGATCGTCTTATCATGCATGATTATCATCGACTCCTTTTTATTCTTTCTTCGATTACAGGGGCAATTCTTTCACGCCGCTTCTGCCATCAGGGATGGGACAGTTAGGTCTTTTACCATACAGATCTATGGTTTCACCGAGCTCAACTTGTTACGACGGTTATGATTAATGAATCGGGTTCGCATGTGCTTTGTCATCATATGCTTTTGTCACAATAAACGCGCAGCAGGATACATCCCATGAATACAAATCATCCTCCAAGATAGCAAATGCTTTCCTGACCATTCAAGTCAAAACATGATGACAATAAATAAATGTAAATGATTGACGAAACATTGACAGGGCTATACAAAACCTCAGAAATGATATTTATAGCAGTCTGAAGTTGAACTCTTCATGATTCTTCTTCCAGCATTTTAACGACAAATCATTCAATACCACGTCCTAATCCACACACCATTCGAGATTATGACATCTCCAAGACATTTCCGAATAGGAAGATAGCCCTAACCAATGACCTCACTCATACTTGCTCCAAAACGTAAAAGCCATGCAAACCAAACAAACACATCCAAACGCGGACTAGTTTTATCGCAGACCAATTCCTATCTATCTAAACTCTAAACTCCAACGAACAATTCGCGATAACCACCAAACCTACGTACGACAACGACCTCTTAGCATATAATATACCTTGATATCTTCACTCTTCACCTCTGCCTCCTTCTCAGGATCCTCTACACCGAAAACTCCAACAAAAAAAAAACCCCTCAAAATGCCCACCACCGAACCTCTACGAAACGCCCTCACCTTCGAAAAAAAGAATAAAGACATGCTCAAGCTCCCCAAACGTGCGTCAACCCGCAATCGCCCTTCCCAAGATAAAACAAGAAAAGACGAAACCAAACCAAACCCAAAACTAACAGTCTAAACCGCAGATGCCGGAATCCAAAAACGCCCGATCCCCCACGCCCCAATAGCATCCCCATATGCCGGCGCCAGTGTCCCCAAAATCGTCTACGTATCATCCAACACGCCGTTCATGAGCGCTGTGAAACGCGTCCAGAAATTCCTGCAACAGGCTGAGAAACGCGCGACCGCGTCTGTGAACCTGTCGAGCTCCAAGAAGCGGGACCGAGAGAGACTGGCGCAGATTGCGCGCGGGAGTGAGGCGCTGAAGAAGGAGGAGGTGTTTGTTAAGGCGACGGGGCGGGCGATTGAGAAGGCGCTGCGGGTGGGGAAATGGTTTGAGGAGAGGGAGAGCGAGTATGCGGTGCGTGTTGAGACGGGGAGTGTGCTTGTTGTTGATGATGTTGTTGAGGATGAGGAGAGGAAGAGGAGTTTGGAGGAGAAGGTGAAGGGGGGTGCTTCGCAGGCTTCTGAGTCTAAGGCGAAGAAGCAGAGGCGGGCGGCTAGTGCTTTGGCGGCTGCCGAGGAGGAGGAGTTGCCTGAGACGAGGACGCGGTGGGTGAATAAGGTGGAAGTTTCGATTGCCTTGAAATGAAAAAGGTATGCGTGTGCTCTGGGAAGAAACTTTGGACCCGATGGTCGACCGAGGATCAAGATGAGGGAGAGAAGCTGCTGGGGATAGCGCCGGTCGTTTACCCAAGTGCTCATGCGATGTTATGGTTCGGACTGTGCGTGGAGAACAGGCCTCCTTTTACGCCAAACGCGAGAGCCGGGTCAAGATACCATCCGTCGTGGTACAGCTCCTTTGCTAATATCCCTCTTGATGTTCGATATTGTTGAGGTGGACGACCGCAATGTTGTATACACTGGCAGGCATCACAAACAGGCAACAGTCCACCTGAACCTCTTATGGAGGTATTCTTCGAGGATTTCAAGGGGGAGGGAAGGAAGATCTCCCAAACGCGAAGACTTTCGCGTCTATAGGCTTTTGTCTATATTACTGCGTGTTGGACATATTCAATACACATGAACAATTGTGTGTTGAGATGTGCCACTTGCCGAGTTATTGGATTTGAAGAAACTAGGAAATCCAGCGTTTTAAGACCAGAAAACATGTTGCAAAACGAGGGTGCTCTAGAGTAACTCCACACCGATCTCAAAACTAAATACCATGACTTTTTGCACGCTCACGCTAAAACTGGAAGCTAGACGCAACACCCCGAGACAATGCATCTCAGAGTAGTTTAGTACACATAGCTACATCAGATATATACAACCTGGACAGAGAGTCAAGGGGAGTGATATCTTGCATATCAACGCTTCTAGAGTTGCCTTCTCTCGATCTTTTCAATCCAAAAGAAATTGTTTCCGTGGACCACGCATCGTTCAAATGATAATATGGCTGAACTCAGCCGAACGAGAATAGGACATCGGTAAATGGTACCTTGAAGGCTGGAGTGAGGAGATGATGGAAAAACATATCGATAATCATTCGTCGCTTTGCTTAACACTGGAACTGCCAAGGGAAGTGATGCTGCTATGATAGACTAATACACAAAGGCGGGTGAGCCTTATATGACTTGCTTCTGCCCATGAAGAAGGAAACATTAACGTAGAGTGAAATCAAGAGAAGAAAAAAGCGGGGAAACCTGCTGTTGCCAGAAGATCGTAACTGGAACAACATGCAGTACAGGAAAGATATATGAGAATGAACAGCAGATGACAAGGGAGGGTCATGCGAGTTATGCAATCTGATAACTGCCGATAAAAGCGGAAATGGGAAGAGAAAAAGATAAAGATTACACCAAACTGAGCGAATACTCTTTTGAGCATCTGCAGAATACATGAAAACACAATGATATCAAATGCGAAGATCGAAGCGAAGTGAGAAGGAAAAAGAAATGAAACGAGCGGTCCAAAGAGTGTGAAGGATCCAAGAGTCGACCTCTGGAAGTTCTTTTGTCGAGCAAGGTTGGGGCCTTTGCTTTGAAACAAATACAAGGACAATCATTTGTCCATTTTCTGCCATCCATTCAGATAGGCCATTAGCCCTACACCTAGAAGAACGACCCCAAGCATCGACGCGTATGGGCTAGAGTGCTGCAAGACATCATGTTTGCGGGGCGGCGTTGCAAACGTCGTATCGGAGATTTCGGCCTCCTTAGATACGGGCGGTGTTCCAGTGCACTCTGGTTCCGTTTCACCATCTGCGACTGGGTAATTCTTCGCTTCATCTGCGCTAGAAGAACTAGAGTGATTGGTAGCATCCTGTGCCTGAGTCCTTGACTCGTTGTTCGCCTCAGAGCGCTCTTCACGCTCTCGTCTTAGAGTCTCTATCATCTCTGCTAACGACTTTCTGGTCTCAGCCGTCTCACTCTCGGCCTTCTCAGCGCGGTCCCTAAACACCGTGATTTGCTTCCTCATTTCTTCCATCTCTTCCATCATCGCCTCAAGGCGCTGCTGCAAATCATTATTGTTTGTGGTCGCCGATTTCTCCTCTGAGATAGAATCTTCCAAGCTAGGTTCCGGTGACACACCATTTACTAGCGTCTCTTCAGGACCTAACTGTTCTGCAGAAGTCTCTTGGGTATTGACGGTATGAGAATCAGAGATAGTGTGGTTTGCAACTATTTCGTTATCCTTAGCCCTCATCTCGAGACTTTTGGCCTTCTCTTCTGCAGATTGCCGCGCAGTCCGCTCTTCAAGTAAAAGGCTCTCTAGCTCTTTCACACGAGCACCCTGGCTGTCGAGCTCTCTTTTCGCTGACGACAGAGCTTCAATCAACGATAGGATTTGACTCGATTCACGAGAGACAGGTGAGCTTGTGGCTCCAAGCTTTGGTTTCTCTGTATCGGATCGCTTAAGAGGAGAAGTAGCGTCAGTGCCATTACGTGGCAAGGCATCGGGCTTTTCAGGTAGAGGTTGTTGTGGAGGTGGGGCGGGAGGGTCAGAAAAGCGAGAGAAAGAATCAAGCCGAGGCATCTTTGGCCTGCCATTGACTTGACGGGACGAAGTGCTGTCTGCAGGCGAGCTCTTGACTCGTTCTTTCTCAAGATGGCCTGATTTCGTTAGATTAGTCAAGAATTCGTCCGTTTGGCGTAGGTCTTGTGACTGCTGTTTGGCTTGTTTCATTTCGCTCTATAGAGGGTTAGGAGGCAATTGGAATTGAAACCAGATACCATGGCACATACCGTAAGTCTTTTAACAACTTGTTCAATAGATATAGGAGAATTCCAGTAATTCATTTGCCGCTGTTGCTGTAGCGCGTTGAACTGACTGCTGGCTGTACTCTGTACACTCCGGTTGCTCAGCGAGCTCCCGGATCGCCCTCGCATGTGTGATAGAGGCTGGCTAAGGGGGGAGGGTAGAAGGCCTCCTCCTGAGGCAGGGTCCAGATCTCCAAGTGTGAGATCAAGAATATTCGGCATGGTGCCATAAACCCCAGCATATTCCACTTTGCAACAGACCTTGTGATGTACAACCGTTGTCTGATCTTCACTAATGATATCGATTCCCAGTTCCAGCTGGTCATTTTCACGGAGCTCATGTGGCTCTGACTCGCGGTTTTCCGGAGACAACCGTGTTCCGTTAACAAACGTGCCATTCGACGACTTCACATCCCGAATGAAAATTCTCCCGCCTTTTTCAGCCCAAACTTCGGCATGTTGTCGACTGAGCACCTTGGAATCGAAAAATCCATTCGCCGGTGTAGGTACTGTTTTTGCATTCGTTTGCCGGCCAATTCGAACGTTATCCGGGAAATAAGGCACATTAATCTGTTTCTTTTCAAATGTACCGTTGAGCGGCACCAGCGTCAAAATCGCGGGCGGTTCTCCCGAAGGTGCGCTCCCTGCGCGGATGCCATTTTGTTGGGGCTGGAGCATATGTTGGGATGGAACAATGGAAGAAGGCTGGTGATGGATGGCGGACATAGCCGATGAGGCAGTGGGACCGGAGGAAAATGCGGGCATTGCTTGAGAGCGTGCGTTGCTCACGCCGGACACTGGTTCTGACTTAGAGCTAGGCCACAGGCTGCGCGAAGGTTTCTTTTTAGACGACCAAGTGGCTGATTCAGGGTTGTGGCTTTGACCGGCATTAGTATTCTGCAGAGTTGATGTCACGGTCGACGTGGACGAAGTAGATCCCAGAGAAGAGGAGGAATTTGATCTTTGGATGGTCTTCCGTGGCATAAACATGCGTGAAACTTCCTCCCCGTTCACTGAAGACAGAGCTCCTTGTCCTCCGTTACCAGATTCGTACCATCCCAAGCGAGGCCCCGATTGCACACTAGGAGGCGATGCCACAGCAGTCATGGAGAAGGATACCGGCGATAGTCCGTAGCTGGTTTCAGGGCTACCTTATCTCATAGGCACTGGGTGAAAAAAAAGGTAGAAAACAGCGAGGAATCAACCGTCTAAATGTACAACTCGAGTACCAATCGTCGGAAATTCACCGATAATTTTCTTTCGCGACAGTTTCTAAAGCCAAATCGCAGTTAAGGGATGTGTGGTGCGCCAATGACCCGTATTCCGTATTCCAACCAACTGTTATCGAGGGTCACGTTAGCATCAAGCCGCAGTCGTCAAATTAAACAGCAATCCGGTTCCTCGCGAGGGGAGAGCGACATAAAGAAATAAAAAGGGTCCAGACCACAGGGGTACAGAAGACAGGAGAGGCTTACCTCCGTAGTACAAATGCTGACGATCAAAATAATGTGGAGTTCGGATGCAAAAGCAATGGGTGCTTCAGACCAAGGAGGCGTGGAGTCTTGGCCTAATCCGCACAGCGACCGGTGAAAACGCCGTCCAAAGGGGAAAAAGAAAGCAGCACGAGACGGTAATACCGCCTTGCACAGGCTTGTAAGCCGCCAAAAGCGTAATAACTCGATGCAGAGGATTGAAGCAGATCGAAAACCAAGTCGCATGGGCAACGGTTGAGAGGGTCAGCTCACGAATCTCTAACGCCTCAGGCTTCTATCACGTGAAAAACCACACGTGTAGATTATCTAAGCAGGTCTTCGCCTCGATGGGGACTCGACGGTCATGATTTCCCTAAGCGGAAGGCGGTGTCACGTGTCACCGGCGGAATAACCCCGGTTTTGGTGGTCCAACCGTCGGAGCTTTACACCTCTATAAGCCTTTCTGAAAGAAGGAGAAAAGAACTGCAGTTTGCCTGCAAGTTCCTCGTCGATTTATCTTTACTCCCTTAGAATACCCCTGGCTCAGCTTTCCCCGCTTTACAACATGCCCGTCGTTGCAGGACCTCCTCAGGCCCACGGCCCCTCCACTTTCGACAAGAGTAGGTTCTTCCTCCAGGGCAACAGAATAACGTGGTTTGACTGACCTTCTTTGCAGTGAAGATGGGTGCTATGATGGGATCAAGTAAGGCATAACCTAGATACTATTGTCACATTAGAGGAGTTTGTTAACAGTGTTTCTCCAGCTGTTGGCGGTATCATGGGCTTCATCATCGGTTCGTTGCTTTCTATGCAGTGAGTCCCAGCAGGCTTGCTAATCATACATCAGGAACTGTCACTATCTTCCAATACGGCGCCGGACCCAACGGTGTTATGCGAACCTTGGGTAAATACATGCTTGGCTCTGGGGCGACTTTCGGGTACGTTTGCACCTCCGAATTATTATGGTGGTAGTGTATTTATCAAACACAACATGCGCATCTCTTCTGATTTAGGCCATGTGGTGAAGTATACCTTGCTAACCAATCTTTTTCGTTATCGGCAGTCTCTTTATGTCCATTGGCAGCGTTATCCGTACCGAAGGACCTCACAACGATGCCTGGCTTCGCGCTCGCGGTCCCCCGATGATGCTTCCGCGCCAAAGCCCTCTGCGGCCCATGCGCCAGTAGACGCACATTCACCGATTTGTGCGCAGCAGTCGAACGGTGGGAACGTGAAACTTCCCGCGGGTTATCTGTACAATAGTATTTATCCTGGTGAACAATTTGTATGACCCACGGGTCAACAGGTAATGCAGGAGAGCGGATGGAAAGAGGCAGGGGTGATCTCTGCATAATGTACATACAGTCTGGGCATCGGGGCGGATTGAAAACAGTTTTGGCCCCGGTGACAGGATGTCTCTTGGCGTTACAACAAAGCTAACCGGTTAATGAAGGATGGTCATGAGCAAACGACCTGAAGAATGCGGTAGTCGATTGACTCAAATCTCACTATAGGACTAGTAGAGTCAGCTCCTACAGGCCCAATCAACGGGGAGTAGGGCGATCTTCAAGATGACCAAGCCGCTCGATAGTAGCGTAACCTAATGGCAGTCTAACTTTCATGTTTGCAGCACACCGTAGATCCTGAGCAGCGCATATTATGAGCTTGCTCAAGTTAAAGGTAATAAATATCCGAGACAACGATATTACGTTATGTTTAGATGCAAGCTGTCCAGAATTGTATTATATGATTGGTACCAACATCATGCAGTGGAATGCACTTGAAAGTAGGTTCTTGACCACTCAAACAAATAAGCTTGTGTAGATCAAGCAGAGTTTTTTCTGAATGCTGCCCGAGAATCGCCTTAAAAGCACCTTTATTTCTTTATTTATTTCATCTTAAAAAAAGTATGGATATCTGCAGGGAGAGATCATGTATTTTTATGTTCGGTCAAGGCAGGCTCGTTGCAAGGCAAGACTACTCATCGTAGCAGTGGCGTATCTGGACTGCTGTATATATGATAGTAGATAGGAATATGCAGCATCTCGGTCTATTGGCGCACAATTATACTACAGACAGAATCTAGAGTCACATGTGTGAAATAAATGTTTTAAAAACATGGAAAGGAAGGAGAAGAAAAAAGCAGACTATAACTCTGTACATGAAAACATCAGTTCATGAAGGCGATCACATGAACAGTCATTCGTCAATAATTAATATCAAGGACCCTCTTCTTTTCTTTTCCAATCCGCTTTTTGGCTTGGTCAAGATCACGTTAATCATGTCAAGAATAGACGAATTAAAAAGGGAGACGAGCTGGAAAGACATGCAGAAGCCAGGTCTGCAGTGGCCCCGCTCAGTTGAACACGAGAATCATTATCGGGAGACAGACTATGAATTCCCAATTTATGACCGACCGTACTTAGTCTTGCCGAAAGAGAAAGGCACGTAGCGGTACTTGATCATATGCTGGATCTGTCGGCGCACTGCACACAATCGCTCGGTTAGTACCGCTAAACAAACCCGTGCAAATTTCCAAGGGGAGACTCACTGGTCAAAACAAACAGAATAATCCAGTACACAACGAGCACAGGCCAGAACACAGGGATATCAAAGACGCTGAACCAGCTGCAGACAAACCCAATGGCGATGGCGCGGGTGGCGCTCTCCCAGAACTTGAACTCGGGAAGACGGCGGATGAACGGGCGGAACTCGTCATCCTGCTTGGTGGGGAGGGACGCAGCTGCGTCGCCATCCTCGAGACCTTCGTCTTGAGTGAGAGAGGGGTCGAACTTGGGCTGAAGGAAGAGAAGGAAGAGGTTCAGAAGGTAGATGCCGAGAGTGTAGGCGACTATTGGGTGATGTATCGTTAGCGCATGCTTTCTATGATTGGTAGTTTGTTTTGTAAAAGAGGTGAAATCGGATATTCTCCGTACCGATGTACCAGCCCTGAGCTAGGATGATCCTCAGGAAGAAGATGATGAGAAGGACGACGGTGCCGATCCAGCGGTAGGCAGTGAACGGTGTCGAGGCATCGAGAAGGGTTTGATATTTCTTGGAGCTGTCAGTGACGTTCTTCGATCATAGACCATATCTTGCGCCGAATCAAGACACCTGTATCCGGGAATTGAACGTACTCTGGCGAGCTTCGACGTCTGTGCAGTCACCGCGGTGAACGGGCTCTGCTCGGGCTCAGGGACATCCATGGCGTAAACAAGGAAAAGGTGGGGGAGAGAAAAGGATAGAAGATAACGGAAAATATCTCAGAAGCCTCTGATATCCGTACTACTCATGCACGATATGATTCCTCAAAAGAAAACCAATCGACTGTGGTCCGGAGGCTGAGAGGAGGCGCGAACTTATCTACACACTGGAGAAATGCGTGGATATCTGTTTCAGACGCAGGAAACTTGTCCACTGCGCTTGTCAGCTAAACCGCATTCGGGATTCCAGCCACTGGAAGGCGGTACAATTACGCTAGCCTGGATTTGTCCCTTGCTTACTCAGAAATTATTTAAGACAGGTACCAGCAGTTCACGTGCGCGCATTGCCTCGGAGGAACGGTTCGCTTCGGCTGCGGGGAGCGTCATAGCTCCGTCTACAAATAGCATATAGGGACTTGTCGACAGTAACAATAATCCCATCTTTTTTTTACGTCCATCATCTGTATCTTATCTGATTCAAGCCGCTTGACCTCAATTGATTTCATAGCAGCCGCAATGTTCGCCCGACAGTGCACACGATTGGTGTCTTCCCGGACTGCCGTCCCCTTGACTTCGTACCTTTCCCGTGCTAGGCCGTATTCCTCGGCATCAGGATATGAGCACATCCTGACCTCCAGCCCCAAGCCTGGTGTCGGGCTGAGTATGTATACACATCTTATTGCGCTTAATAAAGCAAACAATCGTTACTCATTGGGACGATAGTCACATTGAACCGCCCTAAAGCCCTCAATGCCCTTTCCAGCCCTCTCTTCAAAGAGATCAACGATGCCCTCTCCAAATACGACGAGGACAAGGATATTGGTGCCATAATTATCACAGGAAGCGAGAAGGCCTTCGCTGGTATTGTGTCTATCTGGTCCTAGATTTGATAATGCACGATTAGGCTGACTGACAACCAAAGCTGGTGCTGATATCAAGGAAATGGCGCCCTTGACCTTCTCCGCTGCCTATAGCAATAACTTCATCGCCCCTTGGTCCCACCTCGCCAACAGTATCCGTAAACCTGTTATTGCCGCAGTGTCTGGCTATGCCCTTGGTGGTGGCTGCGAGCTCGCCCTCATGTGCGACATCATCTACTGTACCTCGAATGCTACCTTCGGTCAACCGGAAATCAAACTAGGCGTTATCCCCGGTGCGGGCGGATCACAGCGTCTGACTCGTGCAGTAGGAAAGAGCAAGGCCATGGAGCTGATTCTGACCGGAAAGAATTTCAGCGGCAAGGAAGCGGGAGAATGGGGCGTTGCTGCGAAAGTCGTTGAAGGGGGTAAGGATGAGCTGCTCGAGGAGGCCCTCAAGACTGCCGAGACGATTGCAGGATATAGCCGTGTTGCCGTCGTTGCTGGCAAGGAGGTGGTGAACAAGAGTCAAGAACTCTCCTTGAGAGAGGGCGTCGAGTATGAGAGGCGGTTGTTCCATGCACTTTTCGGAAGTAAAGACCAGAAAATCGGTGAGTTGCCTCTGGATCCTTTACTGTGGCGCGTTGCTGATAGCATTAGGCATGACTGCTTTTGCCGAGAAGAAGAAGCCTGAGTGGTCGAATGAGTAAACTTGGTTGGAACGCTCGATATTCCAGAACCCCCGGCTGGCTTCGCCATTCAGGACAATTTGACAGAAAACAAAACCCTAAGACATTAATGCAAGAACAGCAATAACCGATCGCTTTAATATTGTAGCCAACGCACGTTGACAATTAAGATCGGACTTAGCATCGTAACGTAAATCGTATTCATGATTAGAGTATGTACAGCATTAGATATGATATTATGTTCGAGAATAGGATAACAGTGTCATGATGACCCAGCTTGCTTCTCTAATTGAGCCACGTCGGTTGTGGCCGACTTTTGTGTTTGATAGTCTTTCACCACCTGGTCTTCAATGGTTTCGTCGAAGACATCCACTTGGGTGCTAGCGAACTTGCGTGCGCTAACACCCCGTTCAAAGAGAAGGTCCAGCTCAGCAAAGGAGCGACCCCTGGGCTCCGGGACGCGGAAGTAAGTGTAAATGACACACAGGAAGCATATTCCACCCCAGAAGAAACCCGCGAAATTACTCCAGTCCCAAGCCTCTGGGTTGAGCATATATGGGGTCAGGACACCGCACACAATGGCGACAATATTATAGAGATTGCGGCCAAGGACCACGGTTTTGATTTGCAATCGGCGGGTTGAGAGTTCGGCGACCAGGGAGTATGCAACTGTTCCAACAGTGCATTGGTAGAACAGAGCCCAGACAAGCATCATGGCGCCTGTCGCGAGAGATGATTGGTCCCGATGTGAGTCTGGAACCAGACCGAGGAAGCCCATGACAAGCAACATGACACAGAGACCGCAAAGTCCGTACAGGTAAAGAGTTCTGCGACCGATTCCCAGAGTCATGAGAAACCATGCCCCGAAAACGCCCACCATATTTATACCGTATTGCCCCATGGCAAAAGCATAGGATGTATTGGTGGCTAAGCCAGCCTGCTTTAAGAAGTATGTGGAATAATTGGAGAAGGAGTTACCGCTCAGATTCTGAATTGCCCATACCATGCAAACGATCTCCGTTCTCCGTAGATCGGTTCCTCTGAAGCAGTCGAAGTAGCTAGCACCTCGCGTAATCTTAGCTTCGAGTGCTGTGGTATGAACCATCATGGAAATGGTTTCGTCTGGATCGAAGTCGGGGTCTCGTTTCGCGTTAGTTAACCGTTGAAGGGCTCGTTTGGCTTCCTGCGTTTTGCCTTTCCTCACAAGCCACCACGGCGACTCAGGGGCCAGGAGGATTCCAATGAGTAGGGGTCCCGGCCACATCCATTGCAAGCCGTACGGGATTCGATATGCCCACTCATCAGTCCGGTCGATCATTCCCATGATTACACCGATACCAATCAGCTGACCCAGGCCCCAGCAAAAGTTGACATAGGTTGTCAGGTACTCGCAAAGCAACGGGACAAACCTCTGATGCGTATGTGACCGAGAGTGTTTGGAAGACACCCCAGGGGATACCGGCGAGGATTTCGGCGGCGAGTAATGCTTGAACGTTTGGTGCGGTAAAAAAGATGGCAGTCCACGCAGTGATCAAGATGAGACATGCGATCATAGTAGGGCGGTATCCGAACCGTTCCGAAGCCCATCCATTGATAAAAAGCCCAATGATTTCTCCGACGTATGCACCGTTGCTCAGACCTGCTTGCCACTAGAAAATTCTGTCAGTATACATTCATACGTTTGGCTGGTTCGCAAGAAAGAGAAAAGATAAGAAAAGGCATACCCGAGCCGGTACTTCATATGTCCCATCTGCCGTTAGCTCGCCGTACTTCTTGTTGAACTGATCAAAAGCGTAGAAATTGTTGACCAGACTGATGTCGTAACCTTCCATGACTATGCAAGTAGAGATGAAAACACTCCACGCGACAGCTTTCGGGTAAAGTTTGATGCCTTGCAACAGGGTCATCTGCTGCTCCTTATCTGTCGCGGCTTTCGCATTATGAACGATCTTGGCCGCGGATGCCGTGGAGTCCTGACGATCGTTGCGGGATTCTGGCAAGTGTTCGTCTGCCGGGTCAATGGCATCCTGAGGCTTAAAGGAAGCCATGCTGGTCAATCACTGTCCCCAGTTGAGAAGAAAGGGCAAAGGGGGGACAGAAATGGTAGCAAAGGGATCCTGGGGAGAAAAGGGATGGACAATCGTGGACAAAAGATTGCACTGGTGGTTCCTCTTCTGGTACGGCCAGTGGGACGACGTCGCTAGAAATTTATGGCCTATGGCTCGGCGGGGCCTCTCAAGTCCCCACTTCCGCTTCTGCCCAGGAACATCGCCAGGGGAGGACGTCCTGGTTGGATTGTTGAAAATTTTCCGGCCTGGACGCCAACGAGGTAATAAAATTGTACTAAAGGGGAAAAGGGAATTTTTAAGGATTCGGGAAGCCCTAAACGGGACTAACACGAGACTGGGGATTTAAATTGCGGGGAAACGGAGATTTGACTCGTGCTCTGTAGCAGATCACAGGCGGCCAAGCCATTAGTCTGTCTCGCCCATTGGATTGCTGATGGAACTGGGCGTTCGGAGTCAATCGCAAGGTTTTGTAGCTCCCTGTCAGTGGGAAGATTCTGTCCCGAGGAAGGAATCACAAAGAACAGATCGGAACAGAAGGTTATAAATGTCGATGTCGATAGAAAAAGCAGAGCGCAGAAGTGGAATCGAGTTGCGCCAAATCTTTTCCAATGGTTCGAATCCCGGATAAGGCTATCATGGCTTAAGGGCTCTTCGTACAGTAGGAATTCTCTCTGTACTCCTGGGCTGGTTCCCGTGATCACCAATTCTGGTCTAGACCTTCCCCTGCCAGGTTCAAGTTCCTACCATTTGTCATGTGAGATCGTGACACGCGGGAAGAACGAACGAATCGAAAGGCAAGCAAAGAAATTAGGGCTCGACATTCCCAGGATTGTTATACATTTTAGTCATATATAATAAATTAAACAAGTGATACTGATGAGCTGGAGATTTTCATCTTTGCACGTGTCTACAAGCATATATCGAGGATTCATTAATATCATGCTGGATAGTGACATACGCGCTGCACATCAAAAGTAAGGATAATTCGTAAATAACCTTGTAATACTTCAGGATATTAGATATATGAGTGTGGTCCCATTTATCTAAATAAGCTATACTTGGCATTGCGTGCTTCAGTCCATGGTCAGTCGTATTCTCCGATAAATTAAGATTTTGAGCTATAATGTAGCAACCTGCCCTGTCTTTGCGTCTAGAGAAGGCCATAGGTATCCTGTGTAAGTTCTTTTGTCGAGGGCATATTTGTAGTTAGCAACATACATATCGCTACCCACTTCAGGCCAAAGCTCATTAGGACCAGGCACATCTGTTACAACCCTTGGAACAATCATCAATGTCTGCACCTAGTCAACAAGGGCTTTAACTCAAAACACTTAGGGTTCTATATAATTGACTCCCATGATAGAAGCAGGTCAGAAAACTAAATATCACGCAACAATTTCATCTCGGTCGCCAAATTAATAATACATCGGCAGAAGAGCATGCAACCCACACCTGCCACCGGATGAAAGCAACCTAGTAATAACATAACGAAGAAAAATCAAAGCCGTCAAAGCCTGAAAAGTCACACCTTGAGATACCTGTTGAATGACCGGAAGGTACGTGAGATATTCTCACTTCTTCTGCTCATTGTTGCTGAATATGCCCCCTGCCGACTCTCCAACGTTCTGAGTGGTGTTGCCGAGCCCTTCACTGGTGCCGCTGACAGTCTTCCCCAGGCCCTCAGTCGCTCCACCAACGGTTTTTCCTAATCCCCCAACGGCGGTGCCTAGGGTACCAGTTACTCCATCCACAGTCTTGCCCAGGGTGTTGCCGAGCCCACCAAGCAGGCCGGCTACAACGTCTGTTAGCACCACTAGTCATGTAAGTAGGTCGTATAGACCAACAAATGCGGCCAAGATCAATAGATGCAATTACAGGTTCATGGAACATCTTCTAAGAAAGGGAGCAGTGGATACACTTACGGTTCTGGTTATCAGAGGAGGAAGACATTGTGTTTGAGGAAGATGTGAGATGCGGGTGATTTAACGAAGGTAGTTGTTTCACCAAGTTAAATATAGATATTGTACCAGACTTATCAATTTTGATATAACCAAACTAGCAATACTGAAGTCGACTTTAACATCTATGCAGTTCTTATATGTAGGCCTGCAGGTTTCAACTTGCCCACTATGATATCATCGGCTGATCTCAACGGCGTCGCACCCGGCCAATTATGTCAGATAGATCGCTCGGAGAATAAGCGACCGACTGATATCGCCCTATGAAACTTATGGATATGATGCAAATGTGAAGACCAAGATTGTATATCTTGTTTCTGCCGATGATGGACTCCATACGTGTGGTAGTGCCTCTTCCGTCATCACGCATGCGAGATTATGCGTGCCATGCAGATAGATCTCGACTGATAGAATGGTATGTATAAGTTACAAGGATGTTCGGCACGAGCAACAGTCGGCTACACTCATCATAAAGTGGGTTTTTACGACCACCTGGCATCAACGGTAATGTAGTTGTCTGAACCGAATGAGTTATTGGCTATTGGTGTCTTGTTAGCCACATTCGAAGGTACACATGGGCGATATTGCACTATATCTTCAAGAAATTATTAATTGAGGGCACTTAGACGAGAAGGTCTGCTTGCTACAAGGCTGTATACACGCGAACCTTAATTCCATTTTCAATTATTGTTCGACTATAGGAAGAGATGCAAGTCATCGGTTTCGGTTACACCCCCTTTGTTCAAGTGATGTTGCTGGCATGCATGCCCCAAGGCATTCTATGCGAACTGCAATGGGAAAGCTCATTGAATAATTTCGCCCGACAGCAATTGTTCCTTGGGAACATGTTTCTCGATTATCCTCCGTCAAGAATCAGGCTTTAATATAATGGCTTTTATTGTGCCGGATTCGGCACCAAGTTGATTGTTCCACAAGGACAGGCCCAAATACTTGGGATATTTATATATCTTATAAGATCATATAGGACCCTATAATCAACAATTCGGATGAATGCGGAAGATGGTCAACTTGGCTTGAGTGTGCGTTAGGTTTGAACAATCCCAACCGTTATCACATCATTCAGCGGTGTCAATTCTCCCTAAAGTTGGTTTGAGGTTTATCCAACGAAAAGAGTCTGAATTGTGGGGATTTCAGTATGACGGTTGCTGTAGGCAAATACCGGACCCTATTATGACTGGGAAAGCCGCTGGTGTATGCAGAATGGTGGGATTGACCGTTGAGATTGGACGAGATGCCCCACTCATCCTTTCTTCACGAAGTGGGCTATCGCCATATGGAAAAGCGACCACCAATCGGGCGACCATGCTCCACTGTCCTGAGTTACATAGGAGCATTCCGGGCGTCTCGTCCAAGACAAGATTGTCCTTACTTTATACACATCAGGTGAGCTGCATAAGCTGTCATGAATTAGTGCGTGCTAACGTGCTGTATTTGTTGTCCACCAAGTCGTGATTGCCGAGATTTCGCCATTTTAGAGGTACACCTAGCTTATCGGGCGATGCCTGAAGGTAGTTGTTTCGTTAGGCCATCCTCATCAGGCAGCCTGAAGATGTGGCATAGATTGAGCGTCCCACCCCGCATCCAAGTACCGGCCCCATGGTGGTCGGTATGCCGTATATAACAATAGGTGAAGATAACATAGAGAAACCGACATGTTTTCCTAATCCTGAAATATCAGTATTTTGCAAAGATCTTGAGAGTTACCGACCGAATGAACAATCGTCAAGCTTCCGAAATTGAAACAGATAGTGAATACTGATACAGTGTTTAAAAATCATGTGTTGGCAGATCTGCCGTACTTATCAAGACTGCCCACACATGCACCGATATGACTATGGAAAGTGTAGCGACGCTAAAGCTCGTTCGAATCAACGCTTCTGTGTTGGTCCGGATGGCACAATGCGCTCCCTCGAACGAATAATTGATATGCAAGATCAGGATGTATCTGGAGTTTGTCCAGCCTGTGCTGCACAAACACCCTTCAGCTCTGAAGGCTCACATATGGGGCTTGTTGAGTAGTAAAGGTATCTTTCCCTCCAACTAATGTGATATCAGTATTTATACTCCCTCCTATGTTTAGACCATAATAGCTCCATGCGTCCTGACATCAACCCCAGGTGGCTGCAACGAACAAGAAAGAGAGCTTGGTCCCATAGACCTGAGCGGCCGCTGAGCCTAACACTTCAATGCGCAATCCTGGCTCGTCGGATATCTATTGGACGGAGCGGGATGCGGCATCTCTGCGCACTCCGTATGTATCCCGTGATTGGCAGGGACGTGACCTATGATCTAGAAGAGGGGTTAACGGCCTTGGCTCAGCTGTGTGTTTCGAACTCCAGGATTGTTTCCAGTACTAGTAGTACTGCCGCTAACAACAGATTAGGTACAAGCCACATCTTACCCATCCCGTCGGTAACCATACAGTCTAAGTTAGTATCTCAGGGTTATCTTACACTTTCTAGAGAGGGAAAAGTGTCAGAGCTAGAGCCACTAGTGCGAGACCATCTACTACTCAATGGCAACTCCTGTCTTCCAGAAACTACCCCGACAGCCGAAACGGGTCATTTTACAGCTCCGTGTGGACCAGTTCATTGATTTCCTGCAAAGTGATTTCGAACAGGCCATTGAGAAATACCTTGTTGTATCTGGGCGATCCATGAGTGAGCTACGCTTGGGACGGCATTTCATTCATATAGAGCCGTTCCAGAGTGACAATGTGCCTCAGAGATACTTCCATATTGTTCTCGATCTGGAGCAAAGCCACGGCCCCGTCGCTTTTTGCACGTTACCACATGAGCTATTTCATATTCGCCGGGCCGGCAAAGGAATGTAAGAGATAGTCCTCCTTCACATACGATGCATAATAATTGAAGTGGTTCGCGGTCTAACTAGGAATGCTGACTGTGAAATGGGCAGCTATTGAAAACGAACAATCTACTTATCGTAGAGAATATGTTGAGGAAAATACGTTCCTATACTGATGAGTTATACCCCTGGGGAAGAACTCGAGTATGAATGTGCTTTGAGGATAAATGATCTTTTATCATTTTGAAGCGCACGGCATTGTGTTTTGGATGGCGTGAGCTCATGTGCGACTTCACAATAATTGCAACTCTCCAGTCTGGGTGTCTCTATCTTGGCGCTCCAAGCTTTGGGACAAAGGTTTAGAGCGATGACCCAAAGGGTTCGCACCTATAAGCCATAAGCCCCCTTTGCTTCGATAGCTGCTATTTGACTTTGGGGTTTTCTCTCGACTTGGTTTGGTGTTTGCTCCAGCAAAGACAGTGTCGGAGTTGAGCTACAGTAGTCTATTATCAACTATATGGTCGACCTTTATTTTGATTGTTGATGTTGTTTTCCAGTGGGTCTTTCAGCGATCTAAAAGTGTCTTGGCTACTACCGGCGGGTTGCCTTAAATCTATTGAATTTTTCGCCATAGAACACAGGCCGGCCTCGCCATAGGCCAGAGGGTATTTTTGTCATAGAAACAAGTATCAACAAGATAAGACAGAACATATACTCATCTTTCGGATTACTGAGCCTGAGATTAAGCAACTATCCAGCATAATCGAACCTCAATATTCTCCGCTTCGGAGGGCGGAGCTTCCCGTCGGCTGGAGGCTTCCGCCGGGGAACTGCTCAGGGCCGGAAAGGACCTAACATCGGGTTCCACTGTACGGAGTAGATTGTGCTCGGTTAGATGTCCCGATGCCAACCCTCTCTCACGTCCGTTTGATCAAATCGCGCACATCTGGAGGCAATGGGAGTATAAATCTTCGCTGGTTTTGTACTGTATGTATATCGCCTTTCTTTTGCGGTACCTTGAGGACATGTGTCGTATGCCAAGTGTTTAGGGCCGATTATGGGCAAATATCGAAAGCTCGATCATGGAACGGTTGAAACTACTGTATTCAACGCGGGTATGGGGACGGAATAATTTCCGCAACGCGGCGCGCTCCGTAGACCGTTGCTAGTAGTAGTGTGTTTCACCGAGATGGTCAATTTGCCATGCGCCTGGGTTTAATTCACCTCAGGTACGGAATACAAGTCATAGAGATTCGGTGCCTAGGTCTGCGGGCCGTGGGCATACTTATGTCTATCTACTTGTTGAATAACCGTATTAGATAACCGATATTGTATTTTGTTCACTAGGGATATAACGTTGAAGATGAGCCAATGGGGAACTTGAAGTCGTGGGGCGCGTTCTATTGCCCAAAAAGGGCAAAACTTGCGCCCGGCAGGTAGATTAATGCGTACGCATCGGTAATCCTGCCGGTCAGGAAGGTCCAGAGTGTGCATTTTTCAGCATTCGAAGTCGACAGGACCATTCTAGCCTGGTCCACTGACTAAGATCTCTCGAAGGAAGCCTGATGTGCAATGCTGGCCGAGTGAATTGCATGCTACTAGTAGAACCTGGAGGAAATCGGGTCCACTCCCGGTTCCCTTAGCGTTGTCCACCGTACAGAGTAGGTGTTTCCGGGAGATACAGCCGTGTCTTTTTTTGCCAGATACGTGTACGACTCCGTACGACGGTTGGGGTATAGATATGAGTTGGTATCACCGAGATAAGGGTTTACCATTTTTTAAAGATTCTCCCCAGCTGCTTTTATCTACCCCAGAATACTAACGGGAGGGTCAAAGGTCAGGTCTCCATCTGACATTGACGCAGGTTTCATTGGCCAGGACCCTGGGAACGATGGATATTGAGTTGTGCGGGGTAAAAGAAAAGCTACTTCGTTAGCGCTTCGGGAAACTCCTTTTTGATTTTCTGAGGTCCAGAGCATACAGGAATTCGTCGGGAGCTTCTCCTCAATTTGCCCTGCCCGGTTAGGCCCGTTTAGTAAACCCTTTCCTCGCATAGGTTCAATGCGGAGATGATAATCCATCTCATACAACTTTCTGTATTGAAGCGTTAGTAATGTCTGGCACTAGGGGGTAGTTATGGGTCTTGGCCAGTGGATAGGGACGTCATCATCTGATTAAATCTGCTTAACCATTGGCTGAAGCTGGAATGGATTTGAGGAACCGCTACCGTTTCGCCTTTTTCCTTTTTTCTTTTCTTTCTTTTCTTTTCTTTTTTTTTTTTTTTTTAAATTTTAGTTACCATGTCTTTGTCCGACACGACCATTTTTATACTCGGCCTGCTTTCCCCTCCCTTCCTGTCGGCTCCGTTGATGATTGGAACTCCGGGTATATAAATCCCCGCATTCTCCATCTCCCGACTTGTTTGGTTTTATTCCTCCAGACCATCCCTTTCTTTCTTCCTTCATCTCATACTCTCCCCACATATTCCACCATGGGTAAAGACGACGAACCTAGTATGTCTAGTCTCCTTCGCTTCATCCGTGATAGAAACTAATCTACTCCTTCTTCACAGGAACCTACCGCTACAACGAGAAGCCGGCTTATACCACCTCCAATGGCTGCCCGGTCTTCGACCCTCAGGCCGCACAGCGCGTTGGCCGTAACGGCCCTCTGTTGCTTCAGGACTTCCACTTGATTGACCTTCTGGCACACTTTGACCGAGAGAGAATCCCGGAGCGTGTCGTTCACGCCAAGGGTGCTGGCGCCTATGGCGAGTTCGAGGTCACCGACGACATCAGCGACATCACTACCATCGACATGCTCAAGAGCGTTGGCAAGAAGACCAAGTGCTTCACCCGTTTCTCGACCGTCGGTGGCGAGAAGGGTTCTGCCGACAGTGCTCGCGATCCCCGTGGCTTCGCCATCAAGTTCTACACTGATGAGGGTAACTGGGACTGGGTGTTCAACAACACCCCCGTTTTCTTCCTTCGTGACCCCGCCAAGTTCCCCATCTTTATCCACACCCAGAAGCGTAACCCCCAGACCAACTTGAAGGATGCCACCATGTTCTGGGACTACCTCTCCACTCACCACGAGGCTGTTCACCAGGTCATGCACCTCTTCAGTGACCGCGGTACCCCTTACTCGTACCGCCATATGAACGGCTACTCTGGCCACACCTACAAGTGGATCAAGCCGGACGGCACTTTCAACTACGTTCAGATCCACCTGAAGACCGATCAGGGCAACAAGACTATGAACAACGAGGAAGCCGGCCGTTTGGCCTCCGAGAATCCCGACTGGCACACCCAGGACCTGTTCAACGCCATCGAGCGCGGCGAGAACCCCTCCTGGACCGTCTACGTCCAGACCTTGAGCCCTGAGCAGGCGGAGAAGTTCCGCTGGAACGTCTTCGACCTGACCAAGGTCTGGCCCCAGGCCGAGGTGCCCCTGCGTCGCTTCGGCAAGTTCACCCTCAACAAGAACCCCCAGAACTACTTCGCCGAGGTCGAGCAGGCCGCCTTCTCTCCCTCGCACATGGTCCCGGGTGTCGAGCCCTCTGCCGACCCCGTGCTGCAGTCCCGTCTCTTCTCCTACCCCGACACCCACCGCCACCGTCTCGGCGGCAACTACGAACAGATCCCCGTCAACTGCCCCATGCGTGCCTTCGCCCCCTGGCAGCGTGACGGCTACATGAACGTGCACGGCAACTACGGCGCCAACCCCAACTACCCATCCACCTTCCGCCCCTACGAGTACAAGCCCGTCAAGGCCAGCCAGGAGCACGAGAAGTGGTCCGGCGCCGTCATCACCGAGCAGCTCCCCGTCACGTCGGAGGACTACGTCCAGGCCAACGGCCTCTGGCAGGTCCTGGGCCGCCAGCCCGGCCAGCAGGACGCCCTCGTCCACAACATCTCTGTCCACCTGTGCAACGCTCACGAGCGCGTGCGCAAGGCCACCTACGAGATGTTCACCCGTGTAAACAAGGATCTTGGTGCCCGCATCCAGACGCTACCGAGGCGAACGCCACCCACGCCAAGTCTGCTCGTCTGTAATTCAAGAACCATCCCGCTTTTGTACTATCCATCTAGCAGTTCAGTTTGATTAAAATATTATTAGCATGAATTAACGAACCAAATGATAAACTATTCTTTTTACTCTTTGCCCTTTTTTTCTCGCTTTCTGCTTTGTCTCGCCCAGGCTGTTGGGGCGGAAGGAAATCTCACCTCTTTTCTTCTCTGATTGGCTCTCGAACGGGTTTACAGTCCTACTACTAAGTACTTGCCGTATTGCCTCCAATCGAAGTGCCCATCGCAGTTATGCTCCATACTCTTACTGATTGTATTCATGGTTGTTAGTACCGGATGTACATCACATACAGCCCTTAGTTTCTTAGTGGCCAAACGGAGAAAAAGGTACAGAAAAAGAACTCTAATACTAGTAGTGATAATGATGATTGCCAAAAGACAAGGCAGTATATATAAAACTTCTTACAATAAAACCAATAACAATACGTGATCCCGTATATCCAACGAAACAACCAATGCGATCCGAAAACCAAGCGTGTTCAAAAAATCAATAGATAATAATAGTCCCCGATCGGTCAGCCAGAAACACCCGAAACTCGCTATGTTGAAGAGGCAAGAGAGAAAAGATCGTAGATAGTCATGTCGTTTATGAGGTGGAATGTTGGAGTTTCTATATGTCAGTTTAGCTCGCGCTTTGAATACAGAGTCTTAACTTTCGGTGTATATGTTCAGCACAGAAAAGGGAGCGCTATATGCATGTGTTGTTGCGCTCCGATCAGGGCGGCGTGGTCATGGGGTGACTACTGGTTGTTACGGGGTCCCAGCAGCCCCAGAGATACCCAGGCGTGAGGCATGTGTGAGTCAGAGTTGGGGGTGCTGTTTGGGGAACTTTTGAAGTAGTGGTGGGGTCGTTGCAGCCAAACCAGCCGGGCGTCTTGCACGTTGACGAGGTCATAGTAGGTGCGGTGGTTGTGGGCGACGGTGCGGCGGTTGCGTCCGTTGTAGTGGTCGGGTCATTGCAACCGAACCAACCGGGTGTCTTACATGTTGATGTGGACGTCGACGTCGATGTCGTTGTAGCTGTCGTAGTTGTGCTCTCATCAAGACAGCCCCACCATCCGGGAGTCTTACAGGTTGAGGTGCTTATCGGGGTAGAGCTCGTCGTGGATGTTGTCGAGCTGGTGGTGGTGATTTCAGAGCCATTACTACGGAAGTATTTCCACAGCACGCAATCGTAGCACTCTTCTTCCGCGGCACAGTCTGGAACCTTGTCATATACCTTGATAACATCGGATATCACAGCTTTTATACGATGAGTCCCGATCCCGACACGCCAGCCTTTATCTTCAACGGTGTCGTAGACACACATTTGACCAGTATGACATGCTGACTCCATGGCGTAGCCTCCCCATGTGCATACAGAGCTAACGCCATTACAGGTTCCCATGTAAACGGGGTCAGCAGTATGCCCGAAGTGGTAGGCCCCGGTGTACCGCCTGGACTGAGGATATCTGGGATCATACCCTGGCGGACTGGGGAGACCCAGACGGGCTGCAGGAAGTGCCTCGGGGACGGCTTCAAATGTGACAACAGGAATTCCATACGTCAAACCAACCAAACTGGACATTGCACCGCCCAGGGAATGGCCTGTCAGCCAAACATTCGCCTCTGGATAAAGCTCGGTAACGTTGGAATAGAGATCCAGTGCCGCACGGTAGTACCGGTTCTCATCGTTCATGGCCTCAGTTATGCAAGTCAAGTTGGCTTTGTATGCTGATGTCTGGCAATCACATACTTGTCGCCAGAGGTACGAGCCGCCCTGCCCGCAACAGCAGCTAAAGAACAGGTTATCATTCTCTTTGTCCTTAGTAGTCGTACCTGCACCATCGAAGAGAGCCGGGGAGGTTCCCTTGAGAGATATAACAATAGTATGGTTTGTCTTGTCAGCATAGATATGACCTCTCAGTCCGTCGCCTCTCCAGCCGAAACTCGATGAGTAATTGAAGTGACCATGAACATCCTGCCAATCCTCAGTGCCTGGTTCTTCAATATAATCATTCGCCGTCATCTTAGCAAACGTGAGAACACTTTCTTTATGTGTAACATCGGGGCCAGCTAGCGTATCCATAACCCATTCCGTTGGAGAGAGTACGACCGCTGACCCAGACGACCTAGCTGCCCTCAAATGTGCCTCGATACTCGAAGGACGTCGATCTGCAAGCCGCTCGATGCTAATAGGACGCGATGAAGCCACTAATGGGGAGTCCAAGATGACAGGTCCCTCCTCGAGGCCATCTTCTGAAACAGCACGAAGGCGGGTATGCGGTTTGATGTCGAGCCTCTGGTGGAGATCTGGTTGTTCATGTGCTCCGCGACGGAAGATGTGGCGAAGCGTCTGTGTTGCCGTCAGTCTACTGCGAGCTCGACATAAGTATGTAAGCTAAGTAGCATAAAACACCTACAAACTCATGTGTGCCTGAAAGGGCAGGACGCTCAGCTAAGGGGACTTGTGGAGGGATCAAGGGAGATGATCCTCGGGATCCGAAGTATACGGACCCTATGCCGAAAGCCGTACTTGGGAGGAGGGCCACGCCCAAAAGGGCATTTAAAATAATCATAATTGCTGAAAGGTGCCTTTTACTTTAACCTCGGAGAAATTCCATAGTAATACAGAGATGATCACAGATGTTGGGGATGACTTTGGAGCAGTCAACCTTATCAACGAATGACCGATGGCCTGGGCGGTGAGTGAGGCGGCGGCGTGACGCAGTGCGGAGAGACAGGGGGCCCACTTCCTAAAATCTAGTAATGTGTTCCACGCTAGTCCTGATATAGTGATTCAGCGCAAAATATTCGTCCAAGTGATTCAACTATCTAACCGGGTCTGGTTAGGTCATCTACTCCTTAGCAAGGAAGGCTCCCACGTGATTGGCCCGGAAACGCGTGACAGTTTGTCAATCATGGCAGTTGATACTCCTCTATCTGTACTCCACATCTGCTTGTCCTTTCGGAGTACTGTCACTTTCTTCCCCAAAAGCTTTGGGTGTCTCCGAGCTCTTCTAACAGTATGCTTAGTCTGGACAAGTAAACTTATTTCCACCAAAGTTGCCTTGTTTCTCTTCCGGTGCTTGTCTCCTTTCTACCAGTGTCGGTTCATGTGTTACCTATCGATAAACAGTGGCGCCAGATAATTGCGCGGAATCTGCAAAAACCGGCCGACTAAACTACTTTAGGACCATATTGCAGTATACCACAGCATATTTCGACCGGGTTCGGGCCTAGTATACTTATCTATTATAATCATGTCTTGTGACCATATTGAAAATGGCTCTGCAAAGCCTCGTTTGCATACGGCTCGCTCGTTTCCCAGGATGGACACTTCAGAGGCAGGCCCTTTCATTCGCTCAAGGTCTAAGACCTTTCAGTCAGTAGCAACGCCGGAGCATGTCGACTCTGATGCGCATCCCTTACCACTATCGCCGGCCGAAGAGGACCAGGTGACCGGTCCTGACCTGTTTGAAAAAGCGGGTGCCTCAGAGCTAGGCATCGATGATGATGGACAAGTCGAGGAGGCTTCAGTGCTATCGCGGAATGCAGAGGAACAATCAGAGGAATTACCAATAGAGCTGATCAGTCTAACTGACCGGTAGGATGAAACGCTCAGTTTTCTAGCGGTGTTATCAATTGCTGACAATGATACTTGTTAGATTTGTCAACTCTCTCAGTGCCAAAGTGCACAGCTCACCACCAACGATCGAGAAACTTTCCCTTCTTTACCAAGATTTTTATGTCCGAGCAGAATCACATATAGCCACACACATATCTGCCCTCGCTTCCCGAATAAACCGGGATCCATCGCCACATACTCAGCCGAAATCAAAGAGTAAACGCGCCGAAAACAGCCGGCAGATGCTAACAGCATCAGAAGTCACAGAAAAGCGGATTGCCCGGAAGATGCTTGCTTCTAAGCGGGTCGCTTTGGAAGAAGCAGTGGAGCGAAGAGCTTGTGAGAGTATCTACGACAAAATATGGCGACATAAAAGTACACTGGATGAAGTTAGAGACGAGAAGTTACGCTCCAAAACAGCCACATTACTTCTAGTCGGGATAAACCTGAATGACCTTGGGGTCGATGTCGACACGGCTTCGATTGATGAAGAAAAGCAGAAGGAAGCTGATGAGGGTCTATCTGTTGCGAGGGAATATCTTAAGACAATGAACGACGCAAAATACCCATTAGGGAAGCTTCGGCATCTCGCCGCCGCCCACAAAGCGATAGTTGATGCCTTAACAAAGCTACTACCTTCTTCATCCTCTGCTGATGAGATTCTACCTACCTTGATCTACTCACTTATCACATCCCCACCGGAGGGCATTAACATCATAAGTAACTTACTGTTCATACAGAGATTTCGATCGTCAAATAAAATTGACGGCGAAACTGCGTATTGTTTGACGAACCTTGAAGCAGCAATAAGCTTCTTGGAAAACGTGGAACTTTCTGAGCTCCGCGCTGACCAAGTGCCGGAAGGTCCAACGAAAGTTCCTAGCAACGAGCCTACACCGACCATAGAAAAGGGCGATCAGCCTACAAAAGATGAACCAGCTTCGTCCCTTACAACAACGACGACTTATGCAGAATTCTCGAAGTCTGCCGGCAAGGTATCCGCTTCCAATACGTTGCCCAGGACTCAACAGTCTGCAACAACGCAGCAACGTTTGAATAACTTATTTCAGCCCCCATCAAAGGTTTTCGGTGCAGCAAATGATGCTGTCCGTAATACTGCAGACCAGGGCCTAAAAAATATAGGTGCAACATTGGACAGCAGTTTTAGTTTCCTTTTCGGCCGTCTCAAAGAATTGCAGTCTAGCCAACATGCTGGCAAGGATGGAGGTAATCCGATAGTACCAAAAACATTGGCAGAAGCCAGACGCCTGGTTACTTCTCCATCCTCTGCCGATAATAACCCCCCCAGCCAAGAATTCAAGTCAACGAGGGAGGCACCCAACGATCGGCCTCACCTAAGACGTATCGGCTCGAAGGCAGAGGATACTTTCTTAGGACTGGTTGGTGGGCAAAGGACGCCGCGCGACCGAAGTGCGGACAGCGTCAGAACGCAAGGAAGCTCCAAGAAGACTAACGCTGCTTCGAGCTCCTTGAAAGATGACCCGTCATCCGGCATGCCCCAGAGCTCCCCAGCTAGCTCGTCTTCTTTGGTCCCTACGCCTCTGGAATCGATGCGGAACTTTGGAAATACACTTAATCCCCTTAATCATATCCCTGGCATGATCAGGAGCTTCGGTCGTGCTACTCCAGACGGCACGGGGGTTCCTTCCACTCCCTCTCCTTCTACAAAGAGCCCTCCTATCTCGAGAGAGATGTCCTCAAACATGATCACTACTTCGTCGAGGATCGATCCCCCGATTCAGCGTTTCCTTCAGACAGCACACGCCAGCGATCTCACGATTGGAGATGTAACCACCCTACTTGAAGATTATAAAAGGATCGCCGCAGTCTTGTTAAAGCATGGCTCGAACTCAAAATGAAGACCAAATCTCTGATCTCTCTATGGTCTCGCCCCTTCTTGTAATCATTTGATCTCTCTCTTTTTTCCATTTTTTCCCCATCATTCATCATCATAGCGTTGCGAATTTTAAGTAATAGACTGCTGGTGGCGATCTGTCTTTTGACCTAACACATCGAGTATTTTTCCCAGGGATTTAAGTAGCTGGCATTAAATGCAGCCTAAATATATCCCGCGTGATCTGAATGTTCATTTCGTACAGTAGTACCACTACGAGTGCCCTTGCTGAGCCATGGCACCCTTCATTTTAATTAAAGCCAGTTAGAACCCCCTCAATATGCATAAACTACCCTAGTGACGTTGGGATAGGTATATGAACATGTGTATAGACAGGTGAATATGAAGAGCTGCAGTTGTATTCGACAAATCTCCAGGATCGGAATACGTTGCAGCATAAATAGAACCGAAAGTAAAGATACACTTCACGGAGTGCGACCACGTAGGACCTCAGTACCACCCGTCCTCATTCCATCTAGCTTTCTAGAAAGATCAGAAGATTGCTCCTCAACGCTCTCATGTCTTCTCCTGATCTCGGCTTCGAACACAGCGGCGGTTTTTCGTCGAGCATGACGCAGGTCCTTCATCTTAGTGAGCACCTGAGTGAATTGATCTATTAATTGATCACCGCAATCCTCCCATTCGTCCATTGATAGATTGGAGAAATAAGTGCGGCGGTCGGCATCGGAAAGATTCATAAGGTACGGGATTTTGTCTTCTGGATCGGGTTGCGTTTCCTGGGTTGCGTTCGGTGATGGGGCGGCTGCTGGAATGTGGTCAAAAGGTTCCGCTTGGAGCTCAGCGAATGACTTCTGATAGAGTATATCTGGCGGATAGTCTGGTTCGATATGACGCTTCTTCGGGTTGTGCTGATCCGGACTAATACGCTGAACTGAGAGACGTCTGGAAAAGGGATCATTGATAGGGTCATCATCGTCATTAAGGGCATCGATATTCGTCACGTCAAAAGCGGTTATTGACTGTATGCTGCCTCGTCTTCCGTAGCTGTTCGAAAAGAACCCGAGGCCTACATTTTCCATAGAGTCTAAAGTTTCAATGCTCGTGATTCTCTGAGATTTCTGCGGCCGAGGACCAGGGGTACGACGTGTGGGGGTCAGGTCTAATTGTTCCAGAAGAGTAGGCTTTGGTGGGCTGAATCTTGTCCTCGGGGTTGCACTCGTATTGGGAGGGAGCGTAACCTTCCTAGGTGCAGTAGCAGGCAGGACTTGACTAGTCCGTTTGGCGTCTTGTATTGACCGGGTGAAAGTTGGGATTTTTGACGACTCCACCTGAGCCTGGTTTTCCGGCTGTTGGTACGTCTTCCGGCCGGCATTCCAGAAGTTCTGCAGACGTTTGCTCAGAGGCTCATCATTAAGGCGTTTCCTGATAGGAACCGCCGATTCGTTGGTTCCGTCGGAAGCCTCATCATCACCCGCCACTGATGTTAGCTGACTTTCATTGTCGACTTCATCCGAGTCGAATCCGGTTGTCTTCATAGCTCGGTCTCCGAAATTATCGTACCACTGAGAGTCAAAAGGGCGGTGTGTTTGTTGGAATTGATGCAGAGAGTTCACAGCAGCGCCTTGCTGTCGAGCATTCGGAGCAGGCGAGAATCGGTATGGAAGATCCTCAACACCAACAACACTCGTTGCGGCAATGGTCGAGTCATCAACACCTTCCACATCTGTGTCAAACATGTCCTTCTTCGCCCCATTGTCATTTGGTACATGTGACCCCCCAGGAGCAGGCGGGCCACCATAGGGCTCGAATTGTGTTGGTCTACTGATTGGCAGAGGTGAAGGCGCAATCAATTTTGGTGTCGGAATTTCAACCCTTGCCTGTTCGGCTATCTGCTGCCGTGATTGATTGGAGACGTCAAGTTTAGGTGGTCTGTGTTGACCAGCTTCTTTTGAATGTACATAATCTCCGACACCCATTGTCGCTGAGATCAGAAGTGGAATGAACAGCCGATTTAAACATGTAATTAGGGACAGAGAATCGGAGACAATTTCATTATACTAGAGGTTCTCCACTCAGGACACAGATAATCTACCAGTGGTTGCAGTGGGGTCAATCAAGTTTGCCATGGATAAATATCGGCCTTGCTCAGAGTGAGTGGGTGGACGCGTTACCTTGATTTTGCCTTTAAGGCACGCGCGAGGCATCCACGAAGTCACGTGTGGACGGTGGTGCATGGTATAGTCTCAATTGCCATCAAAGCTCTTTTTAGGTATTTTAAATGGAGCTGGCCAAAAAATCTAAATATGCGGTTGTACATAAGGTTGTCAACATATTATGAAGAGATGATTATGGATTGCGTATACCTCATTATGCATCTCACGTCTCTACTATGATCGCTCGGAGATATAAATTTCATCATACATTCCCCCTTGGCGAGTGATTCTATCTATGCGTGCAAGAATCGCCTTATCCATCGAGAGAAGCATTGTCGTCAATGTGTAGGTCCTCAAGTGTCGAGGTCATCCCTTTGCCACGCTGCTTCGCTTTGTCAAAGAAATCTTGAGCCTTTTCAACCTCAGATCGTCTCTTCTCATCTGCAAGTCTCTGCTCCCGTCTGGCTTGAATTGAGTTTTGAAAGCCCTCTCCTGGGATCAAGTCGGTGTCATCAAACCCGTCGGTATCCTCCATGCGATGAGCCAAGGAAGACATGAAAAGGTCGCCGATCCAAAGAGAAACCATGCCTCTAAGTTCTAATAGCTCGGGAGAATCCGAATAGGGGGGAGAGACAAGAACTTCATCCATTCTTGCCGCAATCTTCTGGGCTTCGTGTAGCTCAATTGCCCTGATGTCTGCGATGAGGCTTTGCATTTCTTGACTTGAGCCGTCGGAACTCTCTAGATCAGATGCTGCATCGTCCGAGTCTTCCTTGGGTGCAACTTCCTGGCGATTCCGGATATCTTGGCGAGCAGCATTGCTCTCCTCTTGTGTAACATAAACCCAAAGTCCGAACATGGCTGGGTAAAAGTGCAAAGAACTTGTGAAGTCCGGAGCAGTTTTCCGAAATGGATACTGGACCACGAGTCTCTCATAGTATTGCTTGGCAGCTTCGAACCCTTGTCTTGTAAAATAAAGCCCAGGAACTTCCGACTTCTGGCCATTTTTGATAGCTCTCGCAGATCCCGAGGCGTGATCCGAATGCTGGCGATCTCGACGGAGCAAGATTTCAGCTCCAATACCCCATCTCCCTTCAGCGCGCACATCGATTGGGCTTCCTTGAAACTCCTCACGAAGGATTAAACCCCAGGCCCTTCCAGCACGGATGTAGTCTCTATCAAGAAGACAACGATGCAAAATAGAAGAGAGAACAGCGAGATGCTGCAGACGAAGGTTGCCTTGATAGGCAGCAGACTGTGGTGGGTAAACCGGTGGTGTCAATGATGATAATCCTTTCATAACATTATCCTTTCTCCGGTTGCTAGCGGTTTCATCTTTGGCGGGACCATGTGGGAAATGGCCCCCTGGTAGTTCTCTGTCGAAAGATAGACCGGCTATGCGATATTGATGTGCTTCTTCTGGTGACAGAATCAATGATGCACCAGAAGGTGCAATTTCAGATCCTGCATCAGTTGTGTCGCCTTCAAAAACATCGTCCTCAGTGTCCCAGCCATAATAGTCTTTCCTACGCTTCCTCGACTCATACCGGGCAACGCGCGCACTTTGAGGTTGTTGCCATGATGGAATTGGCAATGAGAAGGCAGAGGCTGAGGGAACGGATGCCATCAGCGCTTAAGAGAAGAGTAATCTATGGTCTGAATGTTTGAGCCACTATGCATGAATGCATTGGTCATATGTCCAAGAGTAATTATACATATGCTTGATTGACCTTAATCGTAGCTCTAGCTCTCTAGTTGTATCGCAAAGCAGGAATGCGGTTCCGTAGAGTTTGGAATATGGTATCCTGAGGCACCAAGGCATTAAACCTCAGGCACCACCAGGTGTAGAGGTACTACGTGCTCTAGTAGTGATTGGCAATCAATATTCACCGCCTACTTCATTAGACACAGGACTCCGGAGTAGTATAGTAGTTACTACTAGTAGAACTACAACTCCGTTAGTAGTGCCTAATGGCTCGACCAGTTCAATATGGACCAGAGCCTGGTAACTACACAGTAGTACTCCGTAGTTAGTTGATACTTTATTAGTACTACTAGAACGGAGTACTTTGGAGATGTTTTTGGAATACCGTATGTACGCACTGGAGTTTTTGCACTTTATACGGTATGGATGGATTTGAGCTTCATCTTACCTTGGCTCTACCTGCTATCATGAATCCAATAGCGAAGAGATAGCCTATTTTTGTCCTGTGAGGATGAAGCGTTTTCGGTCAAGAAATATAATCATGTATGTACGTTCCCGGCAAAGTATGTACTGTACTGTAACACAACTGTCACCCTACTCCGAGTATTAGGATGCCAATCCCTCAGCCAAGAAAGTCACGGGCCAGCCTCGACCCGCCTTAACCAAAGCGCCCTGACTTGAAGACCACCACTCCCAATTTAGGTGCGGCCGTTATCAATTGCCATCATCATCATCAGCATCACTACCACCACCACCATCACCCTTCCACCCCCCTCGTTCCTGCCGTCTCCTTCGTTTTTAATCCACCATACCGCATATAATATTACGTTTAAGTCGTGACCTCCGGCCGGCCACCTGGCACTACGACGTACCTACCGTTTCTATTCTTTAATTCTCTCCCTGACGGTCTAATTTTCATAACCGACTTTGTATCGACAGTCCTTTCGCAGTTCCATTATATATTCCCATGTTTTTTGCTTAAGCCGTCCAATGGTATGTGGTGTGTGGCTTTGTTGAATTAATATGGTAGTTGGAACTCCCAGCACCGGAAGTTCACGGTGCTTAGGTGCTGCCGAGGATTCCGCGGATATGTTTGCCTTAACAATCATTTGACCTTCCATGTATCCCTGCTCCTATGTCACTATCTCCCTATCTCTCGAGCATGTTGCCCCTTAGCAGTGAATGCGGTATTGCTTGTCTTACTAATGTTGAACTGTGTCTCTTTAGTCATCAAATGCTGATGGCAATACTAGGCGGTTTATAAATCCTAGCGCCACGTCCTGACCATTCATTTTGTTACTATGGGACAATCTTCCTCTACGCATCAACGCCACAACAGTCCTTCGAACCGTCTGTCATTCATACACCGTGGTCATCGCGATAGGGATAGGGACAGGGATATGAACAACGATCACAACTTGGAGCAAAACGGGGTGTTTAGGCCCCAACGAGGGGCGGATAATGGCGATATGCTACCGGATCAAGCCAGCTCAGGCGGGGAGACATGGCGACCGGCCGAGGAGCAATCGAGCGGTATAGGACATATGGGAAGCATTCAAGAAGAAAATGGGCCACAATATGAACCAACTCAGCGGGAGTATCGGTCTGCGATCTTCGCCCGCATGGCAGCAAGAAGGCAATCCACGATGTCAAGGCTGGGATCCAGAATTCTGCCAAACTCAGTTATTCGTGGCCTTCTTAGCAGCGAAGAAGAAACCCCTGCCGAGGGCCACGCTCATCGACACGGAATCGTATCAAGGTCGATACCAAGATCAGAAGTCGCTCATAGCAGCAGTCGTTTTAGTCCGTTTAGCTCGCTTAGCTCAAGAGGTATCTCTCGACGACGCTCTGCCCGTGGTCCCTATTTCATTCCACGTAGTGATCCGGGACTGCTTTCGGATGCTCCCCACTCTCCTACTTTTTTCGACCCTACCTCAGATCATACACTGGAGACAACTAGAAGTTCTTGGCGTCGAAGTGCTCGGTTGCATCGCGTTAGAAATTCAATTTCGGGTCCGATCACGCAGATGTTCGGCCAACCGTCTACAAACATGTCTGATCAGAACATCGGAGATATACGCCATTCGATGGGGCCAATACCTGACGACACTCCAGGTACATTCCTCCCTCCACCAGGGCCAATGACTAGTCAGATGGACTTTGATGAACCCCATGAACTCGATTCCGTGGAGCCTGCTATAGGACACACCCGCCCCGTCTCTCCCATGTCTTTGCAGTCTGGACAAAGCCCAACTGGCTTGCGGCACTTCCCAAATCTGTTGCGAGCACGCCCATCTAGAGTTTTGCGGCGGGAGGAGCAGACACCGCTCTCGCGTGTCCTTCAACTGGCGGCTGCTGCCATTGCTGCCCAACTTTCTGGCACAACTGGCCCTGTAATGCCTAATATTCAAGCCCTTGGCAACGAAGGTCTCGATAATTCGTTAGAAAACTTTATACAGAGTTTACAACACGCTACCTCCGCGCAGGCAGCAGGTGATAGCCAAGCCGCTTCTGGGGAGAACGGAGCGCCAACTCCGGTCAATTTCTTACGAGTGTTCCGATTTGCAAATTCAGATGGCGTAAGACCCTCAGCAACTTCAAATCGATCTGCAACAGCCACGAATGCTCCAGAGAGTGGCGCAGATGGGATGGATGTTGAGAACCCCACGGATGGACCTGAAGGACGTACTGTTACCCTGGTTGTTGTGGGAGTAAGGTCTGTCCCGTCAGGTAATAGTCCCGGCAATGACCAGCAGAATCCAGGCCCTGGACCCGGCTTGGATACGTTGCTCCGTCTACCGTTCTTGTCACCAGGAAGTCTACCACGGAATCCAGACAACGGTCCTAACCTCACAGCACGCGCTGAAGGACGACCAAGATTTATACCTAGTCGGCATCAAACTGGAGGTCCTAGTACTACGCATAATAATGAAGATATTCCCCTGCAAGTCGGACATCGGAGTCCGTCAAGGAGGCTATCTGATACTGGGAGTCGTGGTCCCCTCTCATCTCTCCCTTCCATTGTCTCTGAAAGCCCTCCTGGCCCTCACCCTCCACCATCGACGCCTGCTGACCCCGGGCTTTCAGCCGTGTCGTCGGGTGCTTCAACTCCAAGCCGAAGAACATCTTCTGCATCGGTGAGGTCCCCAAGCACCTTGCCGCAACTGAACGAACACCGGACTATGCAGCCTCCAGCTGAACCTGCTGATGGTAACACTCCATTCAACGTATCCCGTCAACGACGTCGTAGTGATTCTGAGTATGTCCGCCATCGTGACCTAGGCGCTGGTGCGGTCAGGCGCAATGGTGTTGTCGAACCAGACAATGCTCCCTCTCCTGCAGGTAGAAGCTGGTTGATCTATGTCGTGGGAACAAACCTTTCCGAAAATCACCCTGCGTTTGCGACACCAAGTCTCTTCACCGATGTAAGGATGACATGTTCCTCCCCTTGCCCATAGAACTCAAGCTAACCTAAATACTAGAACCCAACGTATGAAGACATGATTCTACTCTCGTCTCTCCTTGGTCCAGTGAAGCCTCCGGTTGCCACGCAGGAGGACCTCACTTCGGCGGGTGGAGTATACCGTATTGTAGAATATAGTAGCTCTCTTGTTGCGGAAGCCCTGGATGGTGCTGGCGCCATTCAAATTCCCGACGGGGATCGATGCCTGATCTGTCTTAGCGATTACGAAGCTGCTGAAGAGCTCCGGCAATTGACCAAATGTGCGCATGTGTTCCACCGAGATTGCATAGATCAGGTTTGTCGACACATCTATATTGAGCCTTTTCTGCAGAACTAACATATTCTATAGTGGTTGACAACTGGTCGCAACTCTTGCCCTCTATGCAGAGGTCAGGGCGTAGCCGAGACATCGAATGCAGATCACACCCCAGAAAACACGTCATCTGCTTGATTGCCGTTTTCCTGCCCACATTAACGATCATCTGTCCCGCTGCCACCAATTTGCATTGGTTATCACCCAAGATTTGCATGAAGCGCATATTTCATAGCTTAACGAACTTCTTTTTTTGTTTTCACCGAGGATATCCATTACAGCATTTTGTTTCTCTTTTCTGCATACTTCTTCCTGGAGCCTATTTATTTCCTCTGTTCTTAATTTTGGCTGTTGATATTGGGGCTGATAAAGGCTGGATGGTGAGACAACGGATAGAATGACGCGGAATGGTCTCTTAACTTTGCCAGAACACTGGGTTCATCATCTATGTCTCCTGTACCTTCTGATATGACATGGGTATGAAATGCTAAAATCTCTACTATAAGACACTAATTCAGTAGTTGTAACATACTGTGTGGTGAGGTAGAGAAAGAGAGACTTGAGTGGCTCACAATTGTGAATGTGAGATCATTGTAATACTACTAGTAGGAACGCAGTACACGCCCTATAATTCAGGCATTACGTGTTCAGCCAACTACACTACTACTACTAGTAGTACGTACTGCAATACCTACAGTAATCCAGATGCCCCGCATGCGTCGAACTGGAAACCGAACTGTTGCCCCTCTTCAACAAGCTGCTGACTCAGCCCACATCTTTCCTCGACCCCACCAAACTATATCTATTGATCCTCTCAGTTGTTGAGAGGAAAGATTAAGCTTATCTTCGCTCCGTGGTGACTTTTTTTTTTCCATCGCCTGCAAGCTTACTCTGTCCGCTCGACTAACATACTTACATTATAAATTTACCTGGATCAATTGAGTTGGGCAGAAATTAACTAGCAGGAATTGTTACCAATCGTTATCGGCAATCCCGACAACGCTTCCTATTCTCCGTTTCTCCAGCCATACCTATACATTATATCCAAGATGGATACACCGATTCGACTCACTGTATTGATATCAGGCAATGGCTCAAACCTCCAAACCGTAATCGACCAGACAGTCGCGGGACAACTTCCGGTGAACATTGTCCGAGTCTTATCGAACCGCAAAGACGCATTTGGACTCGAACGTGCTCGACGTGCGAGCATTCCTACACATTACCACAACCTTGTGAAATATAAGAAGCAGCACCCTGCGACACCAGAGGGCATTCAGGCGGCTCGGGAGGAATATGATGCGGAGCTGGCGAGGTTGGTCCTGGCTGATAAGCCGGACATGGTAGCTTGTCTGGGATTCATGCATGTGCTGTCACCGAGGTTCTTAGAGCCACTGGAGACGGCTAAGGTTAAGATCATTAACCTTCACCCTGCGTTGCCGGGGGCTTTCAATGGAGCGGTATGTTCTCTATATTCCCCTTGTTGCATTCTTCCCCGCTACATCTATTAAGTTGTGGATACGCCCCTCGAGGAATGATATGATTAACTTGCAAACCCTTGCAGCATGCAATTGAGCGGGCCCATGCCGCCTGGTTAGAAGGAAAGATCGACAAGACAGGGGTAATGATTCACAAGGTGATCTCTGAGGTTGATATGGGCACCCCGATAGTTGTACGAGAGATCCCATTCGTCAAGGGAGAGGATGAAGATCTTGAACATTTTGAAGAAAAGGTCCATGCTGTTGAATGGGAGGTTGTGATTGAAGGGGTGCAGCTTACAGTCGATGAGATAAGAAAGGAAAAGAAACGTGGCTCGACGGAAGCATGAATGAGGTTGCCACAGCAGGGCTAAGAAACAACAAAAAAGAAGCGGTCTGGTCTAAGATGACGAGTCACAGCTATACTCTTCGGGACAATAATTTATGGTTTCAATTAAGCATTGCATGATAGCAAGGGCCTGGCGGTATGGTTACTGCTTAGTTTATACAGTGCATACGTGGTCTCCGGATGTGCTAATGGAAAAGTTTTCCAGGTGGACGCCTTGTGATTAAAGTTTTAACCCCCTCCAAAAGATCCGAATGAAGGTATGAAATGACTCGTAGACTTTTGTCGGCGGTGATCAATCGGATTCAAAGTTCAAATTTACTCCTCTATGGCTGTTAGTACCTAAGCTAAGATCTGTCCAACGCTGAGCCACTGTGTGACTGGTCTTGTGGACGAAGGCCTTCTGGGACTTTATTGTCGTGGAATGAATGCAGATCACGTTATACTCTATTGGGATGGCTACTAGTATGTACGGAGTACCTCAGGCCCTATGAGTATGCCCTTACCTGGCCCTTGTCATACCATAGTTTCCACAGATTCAACATATCGAGTATCTTTTAGATCAGAAGCTAGTGAGAAGTACTTTTGAACGACTCTGACAGTTTGACTCGTCCAAAACAGTGATCTAATACTTTAGTATTCCGCCTTTCTCGGAGTTGATCTCATAGTGGATTAGAGAGACTCCGCCACTCAACCCAAGGTAATTAAGGGCCAGACTCGGAAGGGGGGGTGTGTGTGGTTAGGCCTATGATGTGGCCTCAACGGTTGGCCTGCATCTAAGCTAAGCCTGAGCATATCCTATGAGGATCTACCCTGGATAGTAGGCCGGCACTAAGTGGTTGATGGCTGGCTGATATCCTCCTAGAGGGTTAGTCGCCATTTCCGAGAGCTTCTCGGATGGGACAGAGATTGAGCGCCAGAAATTAATCCCCATCGGAATGAGCCAGCTGCAAGCCACCGGATTTGTGATATGGGGGCCATTGGATCGTCACGCGCACGACAGTCTGGGAGCTGATCCAGTTCTCATCCCCGCTTCTCCCCGTCCTTTCTCCCCTGCTTTCCCCCCCAGCTAATGGTATCAGTTGAGTCAGTTCCCCTTTCAGCAAGCCTCCCAGTGTTACCTGGTTGAACTGTGCTTCAACTGTGCTGGCTTGGGCCCTCTTCCCAGAGTTGGACTCCCTGGGCATTTTGTTTCAGATCGCTGGCCACGTAGGTACCTGTGCGTCATAATATCCCATCCGTGGATCGAGGCAACCCGGGATAAACCTCATTCGAAGCTGATCAGGCGTGCCAGGAAGCAGACTAGACAGCAAGGTAGTCACTTTGAGTTTGGAGAGGGCCACAATCCGAGACCGTGGGCCCCCAAGACCAAAGCGGAACAGAAGTACGGTATCTTTTGACCGTCGGGAGTCGGGACATGTGCAATGTGCATACTTATCGAGGTATGGATGTCCTAGCCATTCAGTACGGAGGAGGTCGTTGGGTCCATCGCTCACGGCCCTGGAATGGTCCCCAAACAATTAATTCATTTCTTCCATGGATCCCTTTTCCCCATCTGGGGAGTCACCATAGGTAGACAACAGATAGTCAAGCGCTTAGTTTGGTACCCAGGGAATGTGAGTGGTAGTTGTCTGGATTGTCCACCCCCGACTGGACATGTTGCTCAATTCCCTTCGGAGTAGAGAGGCAAATCCTTTTCTGTCTTCCAAGTGACGGGCAGCCTACCCACAGGAGCAATTACCTCCTTTTGGGCCATATGGTCCCCATTTCCAATCCTTGGTTAGTACTATTTTCACTGGATTCGGCAGAGAGCCACGCCAGTCAATTCGTTAGTACTCGGATAATTTGGGACCATTTTTTTTCTTTTTCCTTTTTCATTCTTGTCTTTCTTTTTTTATTATGATTATGATTATTATTATTATTATTGCGGGTTTGTGAAGATATCGTCCCACTTGGGTCCAATCCCCTCGTCACGAGCACTAGCCAAGAACCTCTACAAGCCTGGAAGAGGCACAAGAGGAGAAAGGAGAACGACCAAATGAGAGAGGACGAGCTGGTAACTGCAACTTTCATTTAGCAAGATAGACAAATACGAAGAAAGTGGATAGGGTAGGGCGGATTGTGCAGAAAATTTCCATTTTCTGTACATAATAACGGATAGAACGAATACGCCGGAGTACGACGCATAAGGGAAATGAACAATTTCCATTTGCCCCTGCTAATTAGACTGGTCCCCGGCACGAAACTTTGGCCTGTGGGTTGGGTCGAGCATGAGCGAAAGAGAGAAAAGCTGTCAAAACCCTCGATGTCGATCAGGAACGGATGTCTTGTCCGATTATGCCGATTTGCTTCCTCGGCGGGTCAAGTTCCCTTCCATCCCATCCGTTGGAACTTCCACGACCAAAACTATTTATCACGGTTAATCAAACAAACGGGACCTCATGTGGTTGCCTAGATTGTCGACTTCATGAATGATTCTTGATAGCCTCATGAGTTGACCTGCAGCGGACGGTGATCGCCCTGGCGATCAAATGCAGCTGTTCCGCACAACCAACCACATGCACAGGCAGGATGCAAACACCGTTCACCAAATGTCTCACTTGCACTGGGCGGTACAGATCGTGTGGCATGCCTAACCAGGACCACAACGGCTGTCAGATACCCTGGTCATAAGATTGACTTCTATGAGCCTGGTTGATGGAACGCGGTGCGCAAAAAGGCTGTTCCACCGAACCACCATATGCCCCAAGTCGGTAGGACTAATCCTCTTTTCCGTCTCCACTACTGGAACAGCACGTCGGCAAATCCTGCCCAGATAGTACTGGTTTCAACAAAGGGTCAGTTTCATATTTGCCGACGCGGCGAACGGCAATATGGATGAATTCGTTTTAGATGCTATGGTTCTACGAGGCATTTGTAACTTATTATCCACAACATTCCCCGAGAAAGAAGGTTGGGCGGAGTGCTCCGCGTGCTGCAGAACGACCGGGAGGCGTTCCCAAGGGGCCAGACATCCAAGGGAAAAAAGAATAATAAAAAAAATAAAAAATAAAAAATAAAAAATCGAATAAAACTGCTATTTGCTGGGGATAGATCGTCAAGCTGCCAGTAAGATTTGTACCCGGACAGGAAATTACCGGCGTCAAGCTCTGCAGCAACTTGAATCATGTTCTGGAGCTGGAAGACATCAACGGCACTTGCTCGGCATTCCTAGGGCACAGGTACATGAAGCTGGACAAGCCTTGGCAGACATGGCCATATCTGGTCGGGGACCACTAGGTCTCTTGGTCCCCTAACACAGCCCTTTTCACACGGCGTTCGTGTTTGGAATTCTTCCGCTGACGGATGGGCTGACTGATCTGAAAGCTCAGAAACAGTATAGATCGACCTAACATGAGCTCGGTTGCATGACCACCACCACCACCACCACCACCACTACCCACAGTCTCCATGGGGCTCCATGTTACAATTCCTGGATTAATCAGACCAATCAGCGCTCAACTTCCGGGACTTAATTCCGCGGCCTCTTCAACAGTTTCTTTCTTTTTCTTTCTCTTTTCTTTTGCTTTTTTCTTTTTTTCTACATCTGAACCTTGCCTTGGGTCATGGTTAACCTTTTTGACTCGATTGTCCTGCACGTATATTCTCGGTCTAACTCGAATTGTGGCTGATTTCATTCGGGATCAGCATGGCTGGTTACTGAAGGCAGGAAAAGAAGGGAATCGATAGAACACGATTAATATATTTCCTACCAATGAACACGAAGAACTAAAAGGAATTAAGTCGGTCTTTATTTCGCCCGTAAGTTCCGAGGAGACATCATCATGACTTGTCTGCATCATGAGTGGAGAAAGGGAAAACAAGAAAAAAAAAAGAAAAAAGAAAAAAAGAAAAAAAGAAAAAAAAGGGAAGAAAGAAAAAGAGAAGAGGCCAGAGAGGACAGGCAAAAGTAACGGCACATATGGTGGCTGACGGTGAATTGTGCGCCAGTCTTTCTTGGCTTCTCTGCATAAGAGGAAGAAAAGCAAAGACCACCTCCCAGGAACCCATTTGTTTTTTCGTTTTTCTTTCTTTCTTTCTTTTCTTTTTTTGTACTTTCTGTTCCGTAACCCTTAGTCTGGTATTAGCATTTTTTTTCTCCCAGACTGAGGACCCCCTTTTTCTGTTTTTGACTTTTGACTCATGAATCATCTTATGCATGTTTCCCAAGGCCAAAGCCGCACATACCAACCCAAAGCCACTAGTGAGATAGCGTTGGGTCTCTGCCCCATAGTATGGGTCCCATTTTCATCTGCTCATATCTAAAGTCATTCCGGTGCCCCAGACTGTCCGAGGGGAGTTCGGGTGGTTCCTGCAATGACTGACAAGATGACTATATATGGTGCATTAGAAAAGCAAGGAGGTTCTACTTACAGGAGTAGGGGGAAATCAAGGGTGAAAGACAAAAGCAAACAAAAAAAAAAGGATTAAGATTATATCAATTCCGAAATGAACTGGACTTCACATGGGTTCGATAGATAGCGAGCTATGGAGGTTTAAGTCATGCTTCATAATAAAGCCATGAGGCGTAGCTTATCGGTGGCCATGAGGGATCTGCTGATTCTCCATCGTCAGAAACGCTCTAAAATTGGCAAACAGTCGATAGAATGGACTAGTAGAAGATCAGAGGGAGGGGAGTCTTAGGAATTTAGTGTTATATTATAGTATAGGATAGTGTGTATAGTGTCATTGGCATCGCTGGAACTCGCGATGGGTTGGAATTCCAATTAGGGCAATCGAGGCGGTGGTGAAGTCATGGTTCACCTCCTTCTTGCTGCTGCTTAATTTTCCTAATTATTATTTTATTTTCTTTTCCATTTTGCTTTCTGATTTCATGGATTTTTCTTTTTCTTTTTTTATCCTGTTGCCCACTCTTCTTCCCATCCTCCCCTTCCAGATCATACACACTAGTGATCCTTGGATTTGACTTTTTTTGACTCTCCCCATCAGTCTCACTAACGCCATTCATATCCATTCCTGCTTGTTGACCGGGACCATTTTAGTTGTCTTGATGTCTCCAGCGGAGTCACGATTTCCACTTCATCCATCTTTCCGCTTCCTTTCTTTCCGTTTGCCCATCCTTCTCGAAGACGCTTGTTTCAACTTCCTCCCCCCTTTTTTCCCTTCGGCATTATATATAATCAACTATTTTTAATTTAATCCCTAATACTATCCGTCCGCCCTCTCAACGAACATCCTCCTCGCCTGGATGATGAGAGTGGCCAGAGTTCCTAGCCTGCGGTGCCGACGAGCTCTGAGTTGATCAGATCATTTCTCTTCATGCCGATCTCGTCAACATCAATCCGATTGAAGGCTTGGATGCAACTCACCTGGTCTCGGTCACGATGGCAAACTCATTTCCGCCATCTCAGACACCCTTAAACAGCTTTCTCTTGCATCCGTCACAGCACCTGAACGAGCCGTCGGCACTCTCCGCCTACTCCATCCTGGGTCCCGGGCAATATCCGGAGAGTGTCGCCCTGTGGCATAACCCTCCTAACCAACCCCCCTCGCAGTCGGGCTTGTCAGTAACGGCCCCGCCTGCTTCATTTGCGCCTGTTCCGAAGTCACAGTCGCTGCTGCAGCCCATCCCAGACCAGAAAAAGCACAAGCGCACCAGAAGTGGCTGTTTCACATGCCGAGCCCGTCGGATCAAATGTGATGAGACCCGTCCCGTCTGCGATAGATGTCGGAAGGGAAACCGCGACTGTGTCTATCCCACTCCGGGCACGAGCGGCTCTATGGCCTCGGCTGGATCCCGTTCCGGAGCTAAGTCCAAGGCACCTCGGCCCCAATCGCGCGGGAGTGATTCATCTAGCCATGTGGAAGCAGACGACATACACATCTTGGAACCCATCGCCGATGAGGACGAGGAAGAAGAAGGCAGCGTGGGATCTAGTTCACGTTTATCGCCCTCCACGGGTCCGAATGGGACAAGAACCAAGCTCGACCTTCGCAACAAACGCAGCGCACAATCTTTAGCCAGACGCAAAGCGAAGCAACAGTCACTCACAATTCAAGCTGCCTCTGAAACTCCGGGATCTTATAGGGAGCCTAGCAGTTCGCCATCGACTGAGGCGTCGTTGAGGCTCGATTCCGCAAGTGTGCGGTCGGTCAGCGTCGGCCTGAACCCTTATGAATCCTTCGCAGTTCCCAACGCCGCTCATCTACCGGAAGATGTGCGCTTCTATCTCGCCTTCCATCAGGGGTATATGACCCCACGGCATTATTTCATGAGGAGTGACAGCCACCGATTCGTCCATCAGAGTCTCATCGAATTGGCTCTGCAATATGACCCCCTTCTCTATGCCGTCGTCGGCTTCGCTGCGTACCATCATTGCGTTCAAACTGGAAACGGGAAGCTGTATACGTTTCTCAAATATTACAACATGGCTTTGAAGATGTTACGGAAATCATTGGCGTCAAGTGAAGACCATTCGGAGGCGACACTGATCACCGTTTTGGTTCTCACAACTTTTGAAGTAGGTTTCACCATCGTAGTACCGCCATTATCATGCTTCCTCCCTTGTACCACTATTCATCTGTCCGCGAAAGCGCCCTTGTCTTGCCCGGAGAGACACTAATTTGGAATCAACCAGGAATTCATCGGTGACTGGGTAAACCTGATCGACCACCATCAAGCTGCTCATGCACTGATGCGTGAGCTCTTAAGCCCCGAATCCATAATCACAAACGAGCTCCATGGTCAAATATTTCCTTGGTACGCTCGATTTGACGTGGTAGCGGGAATATTAGCCGGAAATGAAATGGTCCTGGGCCGGGAATGGTACATCGCGAAAGAAGACTACGATGCTCAACAGGCCGCCATATATCCAGAGGACGCAGACAAGCAGCTCAACTTGGCTGCGTCGATCAATCGTCGATTCGGGCTGGAGATGGCGTCGTTGTATGCCAAACTGTCGCGCGGGATGATTCCAATTGACGAGTTTATCTTGCAAAATGACCAGCTCGGCCAGCTCATCGAAAAAGTACGGGAAATCCTGGAGAAATTCCACAATTCGGAGTACACTGTCTGGCAGTATCCAGACAGACAACCTTTGACAGAAGATGACATTGTTGACCCGTATATCCCTGGCGGCATGTATCGGGGCCCGCTGTGGGATGTGAATGTGGCATGGATTGATTACTATTCCACCAAAGCGATGTATAAGTACCAATCGCTGCTCTCTGTGAGACAATCGTCACCATCCGAGTTGCAACATTTGGCTCTAGAGCAATGTCGACTGATCGAGGCCATTGAGAGGTGGCCGGAGAAGGAAAATGGATATATGTTTACATATAAGAACAGTATTGGAATGGCGTGCTTGTTTGCCCCTAAGGACAGTAAACATGCCATGTGGGGCCGAAAAAGGTTGGCGCTGTTGGAGCGTAACGGGTAAGTCATTCTGATATCTCTTTCCCCTTGGGCAACAGGTACCACAGAAACCAGGTAACTGACCGTGCATTGGGCGGTAGGTATGTAATGGCCCCGAAGTTCCGGCAGCTATTGGCCACTGTATGGCAGTCGCCAGAGGTCAACCACTGGTGGCTCTCTAACGATGAAGGGTATCCGGATATCATCCGAGAGGTGCGGTCTATGACGGAGGAACGTTCTAATACTCCGCGTGATAATTTCCGCGAGAGTGTTCGCAACATGAGGTCATTGTTCTGGAATATCAGCTTGGATGACTCCTCGAGCTCGAATAATTCGTCCCCATTGGGACAAGAAGACCGATGAACAGGGTTACGTGCCCGAAGCTTCTGCATTTACAATAACACTTTCGAATGCTATAAGCTCACTCTCGAGTCCACTGTGAAGTGTGGCTCCTCAATCTTGAAGACCAGCAGAGGGCTCTGTAGAGCATACTCCTCAACCCTCATGACCACCAGTGGTATTTTCACCATGTCCCGATTATAGTCCAACATTTTCTGGACATTTTCTCTTAGCTTCCACGGAGTGGAGGCTCCCCATACTTGGGGGGGATGCACTCCATCCCAGCGAAACACACCCCCCCGAACTGATGACCGGATGAGATGTCTTTTCCTTAGCCTCTTCACTTATTTTGCTTTTTTAATCCATATACCCATTGAGCGACATCTTATATTCGTTCATGACATGCATTTTCAGTATTATCTTTGTGTTCGATCCTGGAGATGATCGGAACAAAACAAACGAAGGTCCTTTAAAAGTAATATTATAATATTGGACACTGCGCTACTGACAGCCAGGATACGGGGGCAATCGCTTATTCATGGATTTCATATCATTTACTCGCATTTGCATACAGATATACATGAGATCATATATACCCAATGGAAGGAAGCATGAGCTTGTCTACATTCTGTAGACAATCAAACTAACTATCACGGTTTCGTTTGAATTTTACACCTACGCACAATGTTCAGCAACTGTAGTACAAGTCTAAATATAGGTTTGGCCGGCGGAGTAACAACAAAGTCACCTAAAGCCAGACAATCCCTTTATCGACAGTAAGCATAAATGTCAACACCGAACCCGAACCTCCTGAGCCGGAACAACCGTCTCCAATCCACCCGCCAATTCCCCCACTCCATCCTCCCCATTCACATCCTCACCCCACGGCAAAGAATCAACATCGACCTCCCAACCAAGTAAACACCTCAGCACAACTCCCGCCCCAGCTTTACTCATCACTTCGTTCATCTCCTTGCACCGTTCGTCGCAAACACATTCAATACATCCCTTCGGTGTAATACACTGACAAGCCTCGATCCTCGCTACCGCGCGTCGAAGAAGTACATCGACAAACTCAAAAGCCTTTCCTGCAATTCCAGAACCGCAGGACCCGCCCTTGGCGTCATAGAACATTAATCGTGCGGGTCGTTGGCGGGCAGGAGGTCGGAGGATATTCTGGATATTCTCTTTCTCCTTGCTTCGGGCTTCGACGGCGACTCGTAGATTCTTGCCTAGTTCCTTTTTCGCGACCTTGCACTCTGTTCGCACGTCGCCCGGGGAGGAAATGACGAATGTGGGGAGTAGGGAGAGAACGGCGTGTTCGGCAGCGTGTATGGCCGCCGCGATGTTGAGGTGTCTTGATTCGAGGATTTCGAGGGCCCGTGTGGGTACGTCGAGCCACATGCCTTTGGTAAGGATATCGATGGGCGGGTTATCAACCGCCACGGCGTCGAGAACGCGACCTCGTTTATCGATCTTGAAGAAGCCGTAGACGACCGCGTGGATGCGTACGGCGCCGTAGAAGGCGCGGGAGCTCGTTGTCGGGCTAATCTGTCGGATGGTTTCTGTTTCGATGGGGTCGATGTCTGTGTAGTCGCGTTGCATGGTGTTCCAGTCGACGTGGACGCGGACGACGCGCGCAAACCGGCTGTCGGGGTTGAGTTCCTTGACGAGGTATGTGTGGCCCTGGTGGAGGAAAATGCCGCCTTCGTAGATGGTGAAGAAGGCGCGTGACGCCTCGACTTCTTCGAGGACAATGTTGCGGGCGTGGTGGCGTCAATGACGGCGAAGTGCTGGTCTTCTGTGTCGCGGATGGAGACGCAGCGGGATGGTTGTGGGCGGAATCGTTCATGGCAGTGGTAGAAGCCTAGGGCGTCTTGTGTGAGGCGTGTAGCGGCGAATTCGGGGAGTTGTTGCCCGAAGAAGATGCTGTCTTCGTCGGGGCGGATGGGCATCTCGAATGCGGCACATTGCACGTGGCCCTCGAGGATGAGCTCGTTGGCTAGGTCCACCTGCAGCTCACAGTTGGGTTTGGTGAATAGTTCTTCTGGGTTTTTCATGTAGTATTGGTCTGTGGGATATCTGTCTCCGACGAGCACCGAGAGGGAATCCTTGTTCCTGCGTCCGGCACGGCCGCTCTGTTGCCGTAGGTTGGAGATGGAATATGGGAAGCCGAGGGTGATGACAGCATCTAGAGAGCCGATATCGACACCCAGCTCGAGGGCATTGGTCGCCACGATCCCCATTAGCTGGCCCTCGAACATTTCCTTTTCAATTTTCCGTCGATCCTGGGGACTATACCCGCCTCGATAGCCCATAACCAAGTTACCAATTTCTGGTCTTTCGAGGGTCTGAAATTCAGCCCGCACAGCCTGTAAGAGGACCTCGCATAGCTTGCGTATCCTACAGAACGCTATTACCCTTGCGCCTCTCAGGATTAGCTGGCAGAACAGTCGTGCGGTTTCAGCGACGCTGTCTCCACGTCCTGAAGTAGGATCGCCAGGGTCTTTAAAGGGTGTGTTCCAGCATATGAACTCTTTTCGGCCAGAGGGAGAGCCGTCAAAGTCTATTAGTTTGACGTCTTCAACGCCGAAAATAGCCTTCATGTGGCCTTCAGGGTTTGCCACTGTAGCTGAGCATGAGATGAACCGGACATGGCGGTTCCCTACAGCTGCACATATCCTGCGTAGTCGCCGCATGACGAATGCAACATGGGATCCGAAGAGACCGTTGTAGACGTGTAGCTCGTCGACCACAACGAATTTCAGACTCTTTAGGAATGTACGCCAGGCACTCTCCTGTGGTAAGATTGTGATATGTAGCATATCTGGGTTCGTGAAGATGATTCGCGCCTCGTCACGAACCATATTACGATTCTCCATTGGCGTATCACCATCGAATGTCTCGACCATGGTATGTTGCAAACCTTCCATATACTGCAGTAGATCTTTCATACTTCGTCTCTGGTCCTGGGCCAAGGCCTTCGTGGGAAATATATACAGTCCCCGGCTATCATGATCATTTTCCAGTTCATGTAGCATCGGAACCTGGTATATCAACGATTTACCAGAACTGGTAGAGGTGGAAACAATGACGTTGTGACCCTCGTACAGATGATTGATTGCTTCCGCCTGGTGAGAGTAGAACTGCGTGATACTCCGTGTGTTATACAGGGCATTGACGAGATTTTGAGAAAGCCTAAACGACAACTCTCCGTAAATAGCAGGCTGAGCGTCGATCACCCTATGGCCCTCTGGTACGATCTGTGCTGAATACCAGTCCATCTCACGGATCTCCGTAATAATCTCCGACATAGATTTGCGTTCCTTGGGGATCTGCTGTGGCGGAGCACTCGTCACAGGCACCGCATTATCATCATCTGGAGGTACAGGGATCCAAGCATCCTTTTCCCGTTCGAGTTTCTCAACTGGGTCAGTACTGTCGTCTTCACACTGTACTAAGAAAGTATCAACCGCGTCTGAGAACTTTTTATTCCGCTTCTCGATTAACGCGAGCATCTGCTTCTGGCTGTAGACTGGCATCTTCAGATCTTCATCTTTCAACTTGCGCACGGGTTTTGCATCCTCCCCAGACTTAGATCGTTGGGTTTCCCTCTTCAAATCACCATCTATAAACTCGAATAACAGAGCTTTACTCTGTGAGGATGGCTCTATATCACTATCGCCACTATTATCAAGCTCATATCTTCTATGCCGACCATAAGTTTCCACTATCTCCTTGTCCCCAACAGTCATCACTTCCAGTTTCGCCTCATCAACATACTCAAACCGTACCGCCCGCGGCACAAGCACCCTCACCCGCGCAATCTCCTCAACCGTCAATTCCTCGCCCATCTGCGCCTGAACCGCTTTCTTGATGTTCTCAAATGTTGTGGCGAAGTGCTTCCGTGTGCAGCAGAATGTGTATACTATATTCAGGGCGCGGTGCGTCCGTGACAGTTTCTTGAATGGGTCCGGCCATGGTGTAGATGGAGTGCTTTTTGGTGGCGGCGTTGCTTTGGATTTGGGTCCCTTTTTGGCGGCCTTTTTGGGTGCCAGGTTTTCTTTAAGTATATCGGAGGTATTGTTGGGTGTGGATATTGTTGATGAGTTTGGAGAAGTTGGATCTTGGGCTTTTCTGCGTCGCTTGGCTTTGGTTGGCTGTTCTGGGGTTATGGTTGTTGACGCGCCATCTTGGTTCAGAGGGTTATCTTCGGCAGATGATTTCTTGCGTTTTGATACCGAGCTCAAACGGGTTGTCTGGGGGTTGACACCGGTCATGTTGATGCTACATTGTGACGTTTTCAACGTCCCTGGATGGAAGTATGAAGATTTTGGGTCGGAGAAAACACGGGGAGGCGACAAGACGCGGTGTCACGTGGAGATAGGGATGCAATGTTACTGGATTCGGAGTAGTGAGTTTGGGGATCTATAAAAGGTAGCCCTTGAGTACTACTCGAGTCTCTTCAAGAAATTGGCTTGCTAATCATAATTGTTAATCATTGGCAGCGAAGCCCCATAGTACAGTATAGCAATAGGTAAGCAGGATCGGGTCTGTAGACTCTGTTTATGCATGCAGATCATCTTGCTGCATGCATGATCCAGACCCGCTCAGAGCCCGTTCTGCTTCTGAATTGCATCACTATAGTGTGTACCTACTCTTTCGTCATTTAATTTCTAGAGAAAGGGAGGGCTTGCAGTTCACGGCACGCAAGGTAATTCTTGACAGACCCACATTGAAACGCTCAGTCTAAGGTACAAGAAATCAATGTCCGGTTCGAGGTAGTATTAGGGCTTAGTGGCAGGATTAAGCTGGCCTTCGCGCCCTTGTTGCAAAGTTCCGTCATCGATGTATTTACCTTCGTAATCCAGCAACTTGCGGCTCATTGACTGGCAGTCGGTAGTCCATCGAACTCGAACTGAGATGGAGGGGCTCGCGGGCAGGGATCTCCGCACGTCACATGGCAAGTACATATACCTGGAACAAAAACATTCCAGACATCTTCACTAAGTCTATCATAACACCTCGTGCTTTAAGCATTCATTCAAAACCGGAAGCCCGTTCTCATTCTCACAATGGGGGATTCTAACCTAGCTACCTCAACCCCTTTGACCTTGGGAAGTAATCGACGAGGCCCTCACCCCGCATCGAAAGACCGGCCGGTGGATTTCCCCGAATGGGGTCAGCCTTCAGCCAGCGGATACCGCGTAACTGGCCACATTATCGGAGAACCATGGCCCGGAAGGCAGGGCAAACCATTCAAAGTGATCATGATGGGAGCCGGGCCTGCAGGGATCGACTTCTTGCACCACGCCCAGAAGGCTCTGGAAGACCTGAACGTGGAAATAAAATGTTTCGAAAAGAACGCCGACGTGGGTGGTACATGGTACGAAAATCGCTACCCGGGTTGTGCCTGTGATATCCCCAGTGCCAACTATCAGTTTCCTTGGCGTCCGAATCCCGACTGGACTCATTTCTACAGTGGTGCCCGGGAGATCTGGGAATATCTGAAAGGTATTGTCTTAGATGAAGGACTTGATGAGTACATTCAGCTCAATACACGGGTCGAGAAGGCTGTCTGGCATGATGATATATCGCGGTGGGTTTTGACTTTGCGTGGTGCACATGATCAGGTGTGGGAGGAGGATTGCGATGTGCTTTTGGATGGAACAGGGCCTCTGAAGTAAGTTTCAGGGTAAATACAGGCACTTTGAGTCTAACCCGCAGATAGTGCCTGGAAATGGCCGAGTATCCCTGGACTAAAGACCTTCAAAGGGCGCCTCTTTCACACAGCGCATTATGAGGAAGGATATGATCTGACGGGCAAGCGTGTGGCTGTCATTGGGTCTGGTAGCTCTGGGGTTCAAACCGTCGCTTCAATTTACCCTCATGTATCCAGGTTATATGCCTGGGTGCGTAACCCTACATGGATCACGGCAGGGTTTGCTCAAAAGTATGCCGGCAAGGGCGGCGCGAATTTCAAGTGTAAGTGACAAGCTTCTGCCATAGTAGCTCCACTGTGCTCACAGTGCTTCAGACTCAGAGGAAGATAAAGCCGAATGGCGTCGGAACCCAGAGAAGTACTTTGATTACCGCAGACTGATCGAAGGCGAGCTGAACCAACGGTATAAACTTGTGCTCAGGAATACGAAAGAATCACACGAGGCCAATGAAGTGAGTACAACGCATCAGCCAAGTTGAGAACTTCACCTCTAACGAAGCCATAGTACGCATATAACGAAATGAGAAAGAAACTTGACAGCAAGCCGCATCTCGTCGATAAAATTATCCCCAAGAATTTCAACGTGGGCTGTAGGCGGCCAACTCCCGGAAACGGGTACTTAGAGGCCCTAGTAGGAGAGAAGACCACTGCTTTCACCGAACCAGTAGCAAGTATCACATCCAAAGGCTTCACAGACCAAGATGGAAACGAGTACGAATGTGATGTTATAATCTGCGCCACCGGCTTTGACACCTCATACCGACCTCAATTTCCTATCTACGGACTCGACGGAGTCTGCTTACAAGAACGCTGGGCTGAAGTCCCCGAGTCCTATGTAGGAATCGCTGCTCCCAGGATGCCAAACTATCTTATGTTCTCTGGGCCATTCACACCCGTTGCACAGGGATCCCTTCTACCTATCATCACAAAGATGAGCAAGCATTGTCTGCAAGTTATCCGCAAGATGTACGTACAGCACATTCGATGTATAACTCCGAAGGACTCCGCCATTGCCCAGTTCATGGAGCACTGCCGTGCATATCTCCCACGAACATGCTGGGCCGATCCATGCACTAGCTGGTTTAAGCAAGGGAGGTCCGATGGTCCCATCGTGATGTGGCCCGGCTCCCGTCTTGCATTTTTCGATGTGCTTAGTACTCCCCAGTGGGAAGATTTCGATATAGAGTATCATTCTGGGAATCGGTTCGGTTTCCTAGGAAGCGGGTTTTCGCATTGTGAATTCTCTACCGAGGAGCAACTAACATCCTATCTGAATGTTGAGATGGTGAACACGTTGCCTTACCCGGAGGTTAAAAGGTTGATAGAAACCAAGGGAACTGGGAAAGTGAAAGAGAAGCCTCGGGCAAATGACACATCTCCCTAGTTACCTTGACCTGTACACTACTATGCCTTACATAAACCCGAGATATAATGGAAATTCGGTCGTTCGGTGCAGACACCTCACTAGTCAATAAGATTTTAGCCTTTAATTGCTAGTCTCTTCCGTTTCTTCTTTGTCTTCCTTGGAATCTATGATGGTGGGTTATATGGCATTGCCTGTGTAAGATGTCTCTCACCCCTTATCCAACGATGTGGGACATATTTATGCATACGGTAAGTTGAATGTCACTAGCCACTGTGAAAAGGGAATATCAGAAAAGTTGGTAAAAGAAGCATACAGGCACTGATATCCCTACCTGCCATATGCCCTTGCCCTGCCATTGTCACGTATGTCTCTTCGTGTTGATTTACCTTGCGGTGATCAGAACCTTAGATTGAAATGGTAAAACGATTGATGGGTGTATTAAAGAAATAAGATAACTGTACAAAGCGAATGCAGTGGGTGTATATTCAAAAGTTAAGAAAGGAAAAACGTGAATGTCAAATGAGACCCCAGTGCCAGCCAATGTAGAGCCATGCCTATGGCTACATCCAACACTCCAGTCAATAGAGACTCCTCGTAACAAATGCAAAATGCCATCCCATCTTAACCTACTACTGTAAGGATGTAGATGCTCGTCTCCTGCGCCGAAGAGCCCTTGATGCGACAGCCACATCCCAAAACATCTGCCTCCGAGTAATTGTTTTCTGAGGGCTGATTCCTATATAATGGGTTTACTGATGTTCCAGTAGGTCACAGACAACGCGATAGAGCTCCCTGGCAAGATCCTCGCTTGGCATCTACAACTTGTTAGTTGTTTTGTCCGTGTAGAGATCTTGCACGTGCAGATTTGACTTACCCTCAGTAAGGTAGGGACCGATCGACCTTCTTCCAGACTTGCTAGGTGGATCTGCTTGGACTTGGGCTCGTTGCCTGACGCATCGCCAACCTTCATGCCCTTGAAAATGGGCGTGTTTAGCATTACTCGTAGAACACCGTCGGCGCGCATGATCAAGCGAGTAGCCTTCTTGTCCTCTTCACCATCGGTAACCTTGACATTAACCTTGAAGGTGCCAATGCCACGCTCCTTCCACTCTCCATTTGAGAACTGGAAGAGTTTTGCTTTGCTTGAGAAGTAGGTTTTCTCTTCTTCCTCTCCTGTCTCGACTAGTTTGGGAATGTGGTCAGTAAGGTTGTTTGAGGGATTGGAATGGGACGACGTACTCGGCCGTTCAAAGAATCTTTCGTCTGTCTTCTCCTGTTCGAATTCTCCAGGCGCAGTATCGGCTTCTTGATCCTTTTCTTTTTCTTCTTCTTCCCCGTCCGCTTCTGCTCCAAACGGCTTACCCTTGCTAGAACTGCCGAGAATACCGGGCCCCCCTGGTGCAGCGAAGCTAGTGAGACCGCCCTTTGAACCAGCAGCCCCAAACCCACCGCTGAACCCTGAGAATCCGGAACCCAGAGATGCAAACCCGGAGGTGCCAGCGGCGCTCGCGAATCCAGTAGCGGCTGGCTTGGTAGCTTCAGTAGTAGTTGCTGACTTAAAGACAGATGTGTTAGAACCTCCTATGGCGCCGAAAGGTGACTGCTCCGAGCTAGCAAAAGCGGCCAGGCTCGAAGCAGCGAATGCAGATGAGGATGTGGCAGCCGGCTTCGAGGTTTCTTCCTTGGGCTTCGAGGCACCAAGCGAGCCGAAAGGAGAAACAGCAGATGTGTTTGCAAATGCGCTCTTAAGAGGGACCGATCCTCTTTCTTGGGAAGCGTCCCTGTGCCGCTTCTTCTCAGGCTCTCCTGCAGTCGTCTCGGATGCGCCATTTTCTGCGGGAGCCTTACTGTCATCGACGGTGCTTTCGGCCTTTGGCTCATCCTTATCCAGTTGGTCCCGGCTTCTTTTCTTCTTTGGGCTCAGGATTTTTCTGGCAATGTCTGTGGTGTGTGTCTTCTCTCCCTCTGCCTCGGGCGCATTTGATGAAGTAATGCCCTCATCCTCATCAGCCTTAGAGTCGCGTGATCTCTTCCGTCTATGACCGTTTTCCTCATCCAGATTCTCGGGCTGGTCCTCGTCGAATGATCGCTTCCTGCCCCTGCTGCTCGAACGGCTATTTTCGCTGTCCCGTTGTTGCTCAGTGGAAGTGCCAGCTGTCCAAGCGTTCGGGGCCGAGGTGATGGATGTCTCCTTTAGCTTGTGGCGAACAGGGCGCTCAGCGTTGTCGTTATCGGACGCTTGAGAATCATCCGCAGTGGCTGTGGGCTGTTAGACCAAACGCACTACCAGCGAGTCCCGACATCCGCAGGAGGGACAGACTTCAAAATTTTACGTACCTTTAGTGTCCATTGGGTCCACGCGAGCATCATCTGTGCGATCACCACGTCAGTTTTACAGCCGATACCTCTGCAGAACGGTGTAATGTACCCTTCACCCCAACATTATCTCCCGAGTCAGTTGCCATGTCCTATATTTTCGGTTGACTCCAACAAAAGCTGTAGTGGATGCCGGCAAAGAGAGATTTGCACGATCCAACGAATGTGGGATATCTTCCCGAGCTAAAAGGTCGCTCCTCAGCTGTATGATCGACGTGGGGACGACAATCGGATCAGGTGGTAGGTACTGTGGTGGTCGCTGTAGGGCGTCTGGTAGAAGAAGGAGTCCCAGGTGCCAAGTGCTAACGGTCTCTGTGGAAAAGCGATCGAATGAGGCAGAGATCTAACTACTAGTGGGCGAGGTGCAGGTCGAGAAGCGGCCGATTCGCACCAACGAACGGGTGACGACAAACTGCTTTGTTGTCGTCGGCAGTCGTCCGGTCACCGCCCCGCAGTAGCCTTCCTTACTAGTCAGTTTTATCTCTCGGCACGCTTTTAATCTGATAGAACAACAACAATAAATCGAGTATAAGAAACATTCTCAATTGGATATCTTAGCATGCAATAAACTAATACACTAAGGAGAACCAAACAAAGCACAGCTTCAAGGAACATTGACGGGATAAACAGAAAGAACATAAAGTGATGGGTAGGTTTCAGACGCCCGTTACCATTAGCTTGCAGCACTGTCTTTCTATCACGAAGGCTGGTTAATCCCCCAGCTATTACATCGCCAGCATCTCATAGCACCTATCCTTAACTGATAAAGCAGAGGCAACCGATCGCAATGTAGAAGACAAACAGCGGGTATACTGCGATACCGACCCGATTCTTGAGCACTCCGGATCCACCAAGAATGCTGATGCCCGCCGCCAAAGACCATGCGATCAAGACAAGATATACCGGTATCCGCGCAATAGTCGGCAGGCCAAGCGCACTAAGAAGGGCAGCGATGACAAGAGGGAAGAGCGTATAGCCGATGATGCAGACAGACTGGAAGAAGGATCTAAGATCACAACATTAGTAACCATTCTCGGAACCACCCTAGAAGACATGAATGCACATACATATTCCCACCCAGCAGCTTAATCTGTAAAGTCACAACCGCTTCTCCAATCCACACGATACAGAACACACCGGAGAAGACCAGGTCTGACTGATCTCCCTTTGCGCGCATTGCTAGGAAAAAGCTCAAAAGCAAGCAGAAAATGAGTGGACCCCTAGAAAGGCAGTTCTTATTAGTATTCCCGCACGACCAAGTCGCATTAGGTCAAGACAATAGCATGCTGCCAGATTACTTACCAGAGATCCCAGTCACGCAGACCTTCACTCATTCCGCCTTGCAAGACAGTATCGGCGTCCGGCCAGCGGCCCACAAGATTCCTCAGACCACCACCACTACCAAACCCAGTGGCCTCTCCTCGTTCGGCTGCACCACCAATACCTCCACCACCACGCTGAAGCATCCCACCCATCAAGTATTTGGGCCACAAAACCTGGCGCATCTTCTCCCAGACTGCCAATAGATCACGCGACACGGTTTCCCATACTGTTTCATCAATGGTGTTCTGAGCGGCGCGGCGGTCTTCACCGGGGATTGAAGAGGTCAGGTAATTGCCGGAAAGATTTCCTCCTCGGGAACTCGAAGCCTCGGGCTGAATATTGCCTCTTAAGGGAGTGGTATCGGTATCGTGTAACGGGTCATCAGCGTCGATGGCTAAAGCGCGGAAGGGTCAGTGGCAGTTAACAAGGGGCACGACTCCATCCGAGGGGCCAGTGAGAGGTCAAACTCACCATCATCGGCTTCAATAACATCATCATCAAGAATTGATTCATCATCGCGTAGATCCCCGTGGGAATGGGTATGTGATACACTGGCCATGGTAGATACCGTTTGTTGTAGTGAGATGGAGTTCGATCGCGGGAAGGAGTTAGCACCAGACGAGCATTGCTTGTTGATCCAGATGCTACCAGAGCTACTGGATTATAGAGTGTGTCAAGCGTTGGTTCGCTAAGCACAAAGAATTCGCCGAGGGATAGTGAGATGAGGAGGCAGAGGTCACGATATGAGCTGTCTCGTTCCTGGGAGAGGCTACAGTGGCATAATGCAGTCTTACGTACGCGGCACGGGCTGAAAGGGGAAGGCGGAAACCTGTGGATCTTATCACCTTCATATCAGATTGTTATCCCAACATCAACCTCCAACATGAGCTACTACTAGTAGATAGTTCAGTGTAAAGTCTGTATCCCAAGTCCGACATAGCAGCAATGGCTTCTGATGTGGTAGGGGGCTAACTTGGTGACAAAACCATGGCTTCTACCCGACGTAACTTACAGAGTACCTACTCCTGGCCACGATACTTGCGGAACCAATCCTGTTACAGGAGTTATGAATTAATTAAACCAGAATTGAGATGTCTTTTATGTAAAGAGATATCTATTATTACATGAACACTGCCGATATTTGTACATATAAACCACCTCATTGCCAACCATGATAGTGTACACTGAAGATTATATACCAACGCCCGTATATGCATGCAAGTATGAGGTAGTGTCAACCATCAAACAAGTCATAAAACTATTCGTCGTGCAGACTGTACAAGCTCCCGCTACTCTTCATTGAACTCAGTCCACATCTAGTGGATCTTCAGCAACTTGCTGATCTTGGTATGCCAGAACCTGTTCGGAAGTTGGGGAAACCAGAGCATTCTTGTACTTCTCGGTGATCTCAGCGTTGGAATACTTCCTTAAATCCCGTGATTCTTTCTTGAGTTGGGCACGGATTTCTTTGGAAAGCAGCTTGGAGTTTGCTGGCTTCAAGATATCATCTATCAAAACCCTTATAGTGGCTAATACCTTGAGAGCTTCCGCTCCGGAGACGGTATGCTGATCAGAGCTATTAGAGCGAATACCGCGGCCTCTGGCTGGAGCTGGAGACACTAGACCATGTTCCATAGCTTTATCGAGTTTGGCAACGCAAGGGCGCAGAGCTTCAACAGCGGTTGTTTGTAAATTAAAACGCAACTGCTGACCCATAGCACTCAGGCTACCGGCTGGCCGTTTTCCGTTCCCATCAATGCCGTTCAATGACATAAGAAGCTGGGGGCTATTACCCAAGATGCGGACTAGGTCAAGGTAGGCTCCCAATGCCTGAGGGAAGGGAAGCACAAGTGACGTCTCCATGAGATGAAGGAGCCCATTGGCATTCTTGAAAACATTGATATTTTTGCGATCACGGAGACAACACGCAAATGCAATCCGGAAGGACCTCCCCTCCGTCATTTGGGCGGGCACCATCTGGTTGCGTACGAGCTCAAGGGCAACGCGACTGGAATGACCAAGTCGTAAAAGTCGAAGGTATTGATGGTATGTGCCGCCATCCGGCTCAATCTTATAGTGGGTATCATCCAGAGTTAGGTGCTGCCAGTACGCTTTTCCAGCACCAATTCCTTGAGTCATACTTAAGCAAGCCTCCAGGATCAATGAAAGTTCCCTATTTCCCACAGAAATAAAAGAAGGTCCCGGACCAACGATAGGGTCAAAAACGTTCTCAAATGTCTTTTCTTCCTCTTCTTGTTCGAGCTCCTCTGGCTCCGGCTCTGATGGTCGATACAACTTTTCACTATCATCCACGAACGGAACATCTTCCTCTAAGTCGCTTCCTCTGCTCTTCTTTTGTAGTTTCGAGGATGAATCCGATGGCTTTTTGGCGAGAATTGGGACTCCAGTGACTTGGTGAATCAACGCGAATACGTCATAGCAATCCCGATCCGTCGATCCTTCCAGGAGCAGATTAGCCATTGCACTCACAAGGAGGTTGTCTATTTCGAGCTGCCCCTTCTTCCATCGAAAGATAATATCGGACCATATCCGCTTGCCTTCTTTGATACCCTGGGCTTTCCTTGCTAGAATTTGCTCCACCTGAGAAGCCTTCATCCGTTCTACGTCTGCCTGGGCTGCATCCGAGATAGCTCTCAGGATAATACTGTACGTTGTGCAGTCTGGAGAACCAGGCCCGTCTTCAGGGAGCTCGCCAGCGACTTGCCATAGGCTGTCCATATTACCATGACGTGCACAGACATTGAGCATCGCATTTGTGTGGATAAGGTTTGGCGTTACGGTTGAATTGGGCGCAAAGATAGACCTGTAAATAGAGAACGCGGTCTTGACAGGGTGGACGCCGGCGTCCCTGCTTACTCTGCATAGGCCATCCAGCATAATTGTGTACGTCAACGAATTAGGTCTTCGTCCTCGCTTCTTCATCTGCAGATTGAAAACCAGTTGTCAGCCCTACTGCCAGCAAATAAACAAATCTCACACGAACAATGATAATATCTCACCTCATTGTAGAACTTAAGTGCTGCTCTCGGATTGTTTTTCTTCATACAATACTCCATGAGATGATTCCAAGCCACCGCGCACTCCATATGCTCCCTTTGCGCCGTGCGGACCAACGCCACAGCCAGCAGCACATCATCGGCATTCAAAAGCCTTGCGACTCGGTCAGACAGCGCCCGAGGGTCCTTCAACCATTTCAACTCCATTTCGACGACTTTCCCGGAAACTCTAACTGACATGGTCCCGTCCAATTCCTCCCGAGTCTTCGGCGAAGTGCCTGCCTTGGCAATCGAGAGCAAAATGTCATCGTGTGTGGTTCCTTGTCTAGATTTCAGCCACCGGTTGGGCTCCAGGAGCGTATCCTCAAACTCCTCATTCGCAACGACAGGTTCCGAATCTTCAAACTCCCCGCTCTCAGCGACGGATTCCGGGTCTTCAATTTCTTCATTCACATTCAGAGGTTCCGAGTCTCCAGAGTGTGTAACTTCGGAATTTGTAGAATATCGTTTTGCGCCATCAGGTAACCTCCAAGCACTAATTTGTCCCGGCACTGTGGCTCTCGGAGCAGGATACGAGAGGGAAATGCCCCTAGCGCCTCCTGAAGCACCCCTGGGCCATTTTGAGCCGAGAGATAATCTCGTTAACGGGTAGCTCTTAACGCCCGTCCGAAGAGCACTAGCATTGGTGCAACGAAGCATTTAAACAGCGAAGACCGACGAATCGCCTCGTCACCCAATTGTAAAGTTGAATTCTAGCCGTTCTTTACGTATCGTTCGTCTGTCGCAGTAATATGACCGTCTTGTAAGCCTAAACTGACCTCCGCAGGCTTATTGTTGAACAAGGAAAACTTTTCGGCACGATAACGGAGTCGTGAAGGGGCGATAATGGGGTGGTTAAAGCGAGATTGAAGACAGAGAAAAGAAAGGGATATTTTTTTAAAAAAATAAAAACAACAGAGAGAATAAGAAATTCAAAGGCACACACCCAAACAATCTCCGAGGCAAGCAGCAGAGCAATAAAGACGGATTAGAAAGGAAGGTGAGCCTGTCTCATGAATGCGCAGCTCTCCGATAGCTCAAATTATCGCTGTATCGTATCGGCCTGGTTCACGCTAGTCAGAATGAGGTTAGAATACCTAAAGGTCTTTCTGGGAAAGTATCTCCGCTTCCGCTCTGTTCGGCCTTAGGCTGCAAATCCCATAGAAATGTGTGCCTCAGGCACCGACCACTAAACGCTCTTTCGCCGCTAGTGGCGAAGTGAACCGCTGGACATGTCACGGAGCAGTAACAGGATGCCCTACTTCGTCTTAGCTTCAATAGACAGTTAAGGAAGTAGCCGCTAGTCGACCAGCATCTTGTTTGCGATGGGCAAGCCTCTCGGGGCCTACGGAACCCCGCCAAACCATAGATAACCTAAAACCAAACCATGTGTGCCTCGTGGGCAGAGAAGGTTCCGAACTTACAGATCTACTAGCCTAGTCTCATACCTTAGCAGCTTAACCTTACATTGTACATGCTTTGTACTACGTACTAGTAATCCTGGCAGGAATGGTCGCACCACTAAATCTTAGCCCGCCATTTCTGATGCATATTACCTGTAAAATTCAATGATCGGCCCTACACCGGTTCGCATAGCCGGATGTGTCAAGTTTAAGACAGGAGTTAGATTGGACTACAACACACAGTCGTACTGCAGATCTCGCTTATACAACTCCACTAGTTCTTCCTAGGGTATACTGTGTAGGGAGTACCGCATCTATATTAGTGTATCTGTATTCACCCACGGCCCTTGCTCTGCAATACGCCTCCCCGTCAGGGTGGGAGCCTTGACATTAATCGATATACTTATCATTACACATCACTGAAGTATTGATTTAACGAAAAGGATTACGGTCTTTGGAAGAGCTGAACATGGTAAATCTGATGGCGCACTTTCCGTGCAAATATGTCCACAATTATTGAAATGTATCGTAGGTATTCAGAAGTTCATAAGAAATGCGAAAGAGGAGAAAGTTCCGAGTTGCGTGGAAAACTGTATCCACCAGACCATGACCTGACGAATAGATGAACAAAGGCCATGGACCATAGAAAATAATGCACAGTTTCGGGGACCAAAACCCAGGGTAACATAAATTTGGCCGAAGCAGGGAGGACGGTCGAAAACGAAAGCAAAGGCCATAACAAATTATTCACATACATAAGAAAGGTGAATTCAATAGAAACATGATCTGCATAATCCACAGGGAATAAAACGCGTGAAAGAAAACGGGAGGAAGACAAGACGAGAAAAGAAAGAAAAAAAAAACATCAGCTAATGCAGATTGCCCCGCCAGACATCTCAAATCACAATCCTATAGCCGGTATTCGCGAGGAGGGAAACAAAGATGGGATTTCCCGATAAAGGAGATTTTCTTCCTTTTGTCAAGCGATCTAATTCAAAAAAACATAACTGGGACAGAAGCGTAAGTCGCATGGCCACTCTTTTTGACTGGAGCAATCAAGGCCAAGAAATGGTATCATTTGCGCAAGACTTTAAAGAATTAGATCCGGGGGGTGGCGATACACGATTAGGAGAATTTGTTATTAGAATATTCAAGCTGAGAGAAGAGAGGGAAGTTGGATATCTATTGCGGGTAGCTGGTCGATTGGTTTTCTGCAAAGCCATCCTCGATCAGCTACAACCCGTACAACGATAGACCAGAGGACCTCTCCTCCCGAACTTTCCTTTATCTCTTTCTCATGATGTGTTTGGTCATGTCGAAACTTTTTTTTTCTTTGGAATTCCTCGTGGCCCGGTCCTAACCAATAATGCAAACACAAAGGACTGACTACTTACGTTGCTGATATACCTGACCACTCTGGCCATAAGGCGAGTGAGGGTAGTTTGGAGGATAGGCCATCTGTCCATTGCCCTGATAAACCATGCCACCGCCAGGAGCTCCGTACTGACCAGGCACCTGGCCGTCAGCGGGCTGGTACCCGATCGGGGGCAGTTGAGGACGGACACTGCCAGGGTATGCGGGAGGTTGACCGGGCTGCCCCGGATCGCCAGGGCCAGGGGCATCAACTTGGTTGGCTTGCGCAGCCTGGGCAGCAGCAGCACGCTCACGTTCCTCGGCAGCCTTACGCTGAGCTTCTTCCTCCTTCTTGCGAGCCTTCCACTCCTTGCGAATTTCCTTGAATTCTAGGACAGAACAGTTAGCCCCATTGTCACCAATGGTTGTGGTATGATCTCAGTGAGAAAAAGACGAGAATATGGGGACAGCTGTAAGCGACGACGTCACTGGCAGGGAGGACGGCTTCGGTTTAGGTTAACCTCCGCACCGGCTCCTCGCGCTACTGCCATCCCGTCGCGCTAAAGCTGTGTAACTCGACTAGCGCGTGGCACCCGCACTAGCCTAAATTGAGATACCCGCGACCCCTCTCAAAAACACAAGGATCTTGAGAAGACATTGAAACAATGTCCCCCAGAAGCACCCACCCAGAAAAGGGGGGAGGGGAAAACATACCTTCAGGAGTTCGCTTGGCTCCATGAGACTGCATGGTAACGTGCGCGTTCAGGTGGTTCAGTGTACCATATGCCTTTTCACACCCATTCCATCCACACTTGTACATACGCTCGATTTCCTCATACCGACGACGAGGCCGCTTATGCTGCTGCGCACCGGGAATCGGAACGAATGAGTAGACCTAAAAATTTCCAGATGAGCCTATGACCATTGACAGTATAACCCCGAAAATAGAGGAGAAAGTTAAAGATGAAAAAAGCGCGCCGCTAGCCATCCTTGACCCCAAAAAAGGCAGGCTGACAGCGGCCCCCACTTCTGGAGGCGTCCAAGACAATAACCAACGCGAATGCGCAGCCTTTGGAAACAGACGCCAAAATCATCAAAAACATACCTGGCCAGGGCGCGGCCCTGCGGTCGCAGCAGGGGAGGCGGGACCAACCGTTGTGGCAGGAGTGGTATAAGGTCCAGGCAGACCATGCTGATGTTGACCATACCCATGCGACCAATCTGGACGCGCATACATCTGTGGAGGCGGCGGAGGAGGGTGACCTTGATACTGGGCCATTTCATGACCCTGTGGCTGATAAGGCGAGTAGGGAGGAGGATAGGTGGGGCTAGAGGCCGCGATTGAGGGATCTATAGGAACGTCCGCGTCAGACTTTACGTTCGTGTGATTGCGATGGTCATTTTGCAGCCCATCATGGAGGGTATGCATAGACGGACTTGTTGCTTGAGCCATACCTGCCGCACCACCGGCCTGTGTGTTCGGCGCGTGATGGTACTGGGGCGGGCGGGCGAGGTAATCAGGATAAGCTGGAGAGCGCGCGGCTGGTGGAGGCTGATTCAGACCGTAGTCTGACTGCGGCGTGTTGGAGGAGGAAATATTGGCGGCAGGGCGAACCTCGGGTTGCGGTGTGTATTGAGGATTGGGGCGCACCTCAGGCTGAGGCGTGTATTGAGCAGTAGCAGCAGCAGATGCCTGGTCTGCAGCTGGAAGTTCAGAATGGGGCGCGACAGACGGTGGATATGGAAAGTGCGAACCTGACTGCGCGTACTCGGAAGCCGGTCTGTTGTCCATATAATATACTTTGCGCCGTTACCGGATAAATATCCCTGACAGAATCCTCCAAGCTAAAAACTCGCGTGTCTGTCTGTAGACGCGTCGAATAACACAATGAGCTTTGTGAACGTGATAAATTTGGGGTAAGATACGCCGATATAGGCCAGGTATGAAGCAGGGGGGAAAGTTTTGGTTCAGATCTCTGAACAAGATCCCCGTAGTGTGAATACTTCTAGAGATCCTTCCTTGTTGTCACGTACTATTTAGTGGATTGGAACCCCGGTGTATGAGCGATGATCACTTGACCAGCTCTTCGCAAATGGTGGTGTATTGGGTGAAAAGAGGGGAAAAAGAACAGTTCAGGAAAAGACAACAAAAAAAGGATGGACGCGTGAGACTAAAGTGAAAATAGTCACACTGAGAACACCACAATTCAAGAAACACCTGGATTGGGTATTGGGAGTCGAAAGGGTAAAGGATGAGGGTGCAGTGACTCTTCCAGACGGAGATGTTGGATCGCGATGCTTAATCGCCTTAGTCGCCTCTTAGGGTGACGGAGAATGCCTTGCAGGGTGGCGGTCGACACAACAGCACGAGGAACCAGCGGGAAAGAAAGAGACGGTCCTGTCCTGCGCTCGGGCAAGCTTGGGGGTAGAGGGTTTAGAAAGCAGCCAGGCCAAGAGCCAAAAAGTAGCGTCGATAGCCTAGCACAAACTAGTAGAAATGGGTAATATAATAAAATAAAATAATTTAGGTCCCAGAATCCACTGCTTAAACGGGTGATAGCGCGAAGAGCGATGTCTCGATCCACGAGTGGCCACACAGTAGTACAATCACCCTAAAATCGAGACGGAGGAAAAATGGTTCGACTCGACCCGGAAAAAAAAGAGAGACTTGAGCAGATGAGGCGACCTAAAAGGTTTTTCGGACGGACAAGCAAAAAAGAGGCTTTTCGGCAGGAGGAAAAATCGCAGGTTAGAGCACCTCGTGGGATCCGAGAGTGCGGTGGAGCGGCGCGTGGGCCCGTAATTTTTCTTTGGTACTCTCTCTCTTTTTCCTTTTTTTTTTCCTGCCAACAATTTTTTTTAATTTCTTTCCCCTTTCCCCTCTGGAGAAATTAGGGAGAAGGT